TTTATATATATATCTATAGGCAGTGTTACACAGAGGCCCAAAATCCGGATTTTAGTTATCCGGATTATTCGTAGCCTATCTGTCACCAGTCTGTCACCGACGTAAATGAAAAAAAATAGATTTCTAAAATTTGGTTTATTCAAGATGGGTCGGTATTTTTCTGTGTGAAATATATGGAATATATACGTATGTATCATGTAGATTAAAACAAATGAAAATTTAAATATTTAAAGGGATAGTTGAGTTCTTGTTTAAAGGGATAGGGGAGTTATTGTTTCAGACCGCAAATGCTTTCAGAGTGCATGGTTTTTGCTCTTATTTTAATTATTTATGACATTTCTAGTGCTCTTTTAGGACTTATGTAGCTAATTTTAGACCCCAAAATATGTGAAATTTAACCAAAACGATCATATCAATTCAGCTCCACTTTCAAAAAAATACGCTGACCGTTGATTAATTAATAATAAAGATGCACTGGCCGACTGGTTGTGGGTATTATAACCAACACGAAAAAGCCAACAAAAAGCCAACATCGGCATTGGCTGGAATAAAACGTGAAAGGCACTTTATCGTTTTTATCGTTTTTTTAAACGGCTGGTTCAAATTATCTAATATTTTGTGGTAGCACACATAATTAGAAATAGTTATATTTATGGATATTTCAGCCGTCTCTGAACCAATTTTGATCAAACATAGATGATTTTGTCATTTAAATTGTATAATCTTTCAAATTTGACACTCACATTTTCATTATCTCACACAAAAATTATTTTGTGAAGCGCCCTCTGCAACAAAACTCAACTATCCCTTTGAGCTTGCTTGATACAGCAGATGATATCTCTTGTAGCGCATGCCTGACATATCACAACACGGTTGAACTGTTAACTTGTAGACTTATGATATATATATAGAAATGTGTATTAGGCCTAAAATAAAAACTTGTTGTATTGCCCTTTGGGTGCTAAAACATGGGTCGGTCGGTCGGAAAGTTTTTTTTTGTTAAACTTTGTTTTTTCGCCCTCTTGTGGGCCGATGTTTTTCTGTTTGTAATGTTTTTTAGTGCCTTCAAAATTTCAAAAGTGTTGTGAGCCTTTCCGTAGAAAACTCTAAACAGCGACCGTAGCCCAAATCTCCCTGGTTTCTAGCCAGGGTTTCTAGTTGGTGCAGTGCATGGTATAAACACGTACGCGAGGCCGGGGTCTACTTGCATGTTTACGCTAGTAGGATTTTGAAACTAGGGCAGAAGACGAGTGAGAATTTGGGAATAATTTGATTTTATGCATTCATATTCCATAAAACAAACAAAATACATATTTTTTAAATTTATTAATATAAAAAATAAAATAAAAAAACGGTTATAAAAAACAAAAAACTTTTTTAAAATGCCGACCGTAGATTTTCAGATTTATGGGTCGGTCGCAAACAAGTTTTTTATTTTAGGCCTTATTACATAAATATATTCGACATATTTATTTAATTAGAGAATGAACAGAAATGGATTCCTATTCTTCTGATAGTACAGATGATGGGATATGTTATTCTCGCAGTGACAACACAGGGCTCTCTGTGCTCAGCATCGGTCAAACTCATTTACATTTACAAATACGACTTTTTTGTTTAAATATTTGCATTTTTTCGCAAATCATACAAGACATTGTATAGCTTTCATTCCTAATTTGCTGTTGGTTGCTGTGAGTTGAAATTAAAATGTATGTGTTGCACATACAAAATAAAGAGAATAAATTGTGATGGTTGTGCATTATGTTTTGAAACAAATAATGCTATGCGGTTGGAGGAAAATTAGCAAAAAGGAACGATTTCCAAACAGCAGTTTGTTTTCTATGTTTATGGCTTCATGGCTGTATAATTGATTGATTGATTGACTGATTTTATTTCATTTCATATAACAATTGTTTGCACAATAAAAAACATAGTTGACAAAGTAAGATCAAAATTATGAAATGAAACAGGAACCTACTGGAAAGCATAGCTTGTTTTTGTAGGTTCCCATGAAAAAACGTAATATGAACATTATTTTCATAAATCATTTTAAAGTGTCTTAATAATCACAATAAAATAATCGATGAAATTCTAATGTCTTTTTCTAAAGATATATTTAAAATTCAAATACCGAAAATGATCACTTATTTTTAAAACGTAGCGATAGATGGAGTTTGGTTAATGCTCATCGATATACTCTGATTATCGACATTTTGTCCAGGGTATTTATTATATTACATATTTAGGCCAACAGTGCAAATTTCAATATTGCTTAACCGTCAAAGTATTGTGATTTTAATTCTTTCCACTGAATCCACTATCGTACACAAATAGCATGATTTTTTTCTTCTTATAATAGCTAACCCCAAAGAACAAAAAACATAAACAAAGAAAACAACCCCCCCTTCAAAAAAAAAAAACCCCACCAAAACACGAATTAGGCATTACAGAGTGTGTCAGAAAAAATGTCCCACTTTTTAAAACTTGTATTGTTTGAAGTATGAATATTTAATCATGGGTTCCATGATATGTCATGATAGAGTTATAATCCTAGTATATTTAGGTACCATTTTCATTTGAATCTCCGCATGCATGACTCAACATCAGACAATCGAAATACGAAATATCAGTCAGCCTAATTTTCCAATTTTCGGGGCTCTTACCCCCCCCCCCCTTCGCTTATTCAGTGGCCGGCTGAGGCGTTGCGAAATTTTCGGCGCGATTTTCAAATTCTAACCCCCCCCCCTTGAAAAAAACCCTGCGTACACCACTGATGACAATTAATATCAGCTGGGGGTATAAGTAAAGAGATGGAATTAGGCTTTGTATGGTGATGAAATGAACCCTTTGATTTTTCTTATTATAAATAAGGGATGGTTGGTGCATTTATAATGGTATCAAAATTTTATTCCAAATTTCGGACTGGTGAAAGCAACAGTATTTTGGTCCATAATAGTTCTCATTAATAGTAAAAATAAATTTATTGAACCGCCGGGTGGGCTAGTTACGAGCAGTTTCCTTTCTACGAAATTTCTGATCAAGAACTTAAGGTAGAGCGTGCTATTGTAGCGGAACAATAATATTTTGTATAACAGCGACTGATGAGTGTTACCCCTAAAAGGATACCATAGTTTAGATCAGGTGAAATGAAACTTGGGTAAAGCATAAGAAGGGTGAAAGAAGGAAAGTAACATTTAGGTGTATTAATCACACAGATGTTGCGTGAGGTTGTTTTACATATAAAATAAACATGTTTTTTCCATGTAAGTTTGTTGTCGTCATGGACACCAGGAAATATTCATTACAGGAGACTTCGAACAGAGGATCACCGACACAAATGTCTCCCGTCAAATCCTCTTTTGAGGTGCTATACATCATAATTTTTGTTTTTTAAAGTAGATATTCATTGATTAAATATATATATATATATATATATTTATTATTGCAAACGTGCAACCTTGATTGGACAAGGTTATCAAAATTCTATGCTTTTAAACATTCGAAGTAATGATTATTATCAATTACAAAACGCTTCAATACAACCCCGGCAGCGTCATTTTTCCCCCACGAGATTTCCGGACCTTGGCTTATATCTTTTACGTCATTAGCAGCTTAGAAAGAGGTCACACAGATTTAAGAGTTGAGTATTTATTGCCTTGCCTCAATATTTATAAAGCCAAAAAATAATACTGAATAAATACTGATCGTGCTATGTAGGATTATATTTTTCTGCGGACACGACTCTCAAAGCGAGCAACTGAGTACCCAAGCATTCAGGTCCCCATGTATCGCAGAACCATTCGTTAGAAGAAAAAAACCCCAAATAAGGTGGGAGTGTTCGCATTGGCTGAGCCACACCCCTCTCCTGCGTGCTATAGCATTTCCTTAATAATAAGCAATACCCGAAAGTACTTTTTGGTCTATCTTCAAAATTACGTCAACGAGAGTGAAATTCTAGTACATGACTGAAGTTAGAGAGTATTTATCAATTTCTGTCACGTGGCGACTATGGCGGGCCCTACTGGCCGTTATTCGTACAGATAGTACGCATCGAATGGATGTAGAGGTTTAACCAATCAGAACGCAGATGCAACCATCCAGCAATACAAATATGCAAACTACATCTACATCCATCGCAGCACCTGCGAGCGCATGTTAAGTTGCAAGTGTGTACGACGCGCCTTACAGGCTATCTTATCAGAACGTTTGGGTCACTGAACAGTCCTTGTTTTATTACAAACAACAAAAGATCTATGGAGAATGACGTTAAAAAACACTTTTTTTTTTTTTTTTACATCCATCTTAGTTCTGCTAAAAGTACCACATATTTTGCCTAGTTTGACTAGCATAATACGACAAATGTTCTTTCGGGTAAAGCAAACACTTAATACAATTTCACTATGATTTACTATCGCGTTTTATTTTAAATCAACGGATCGGGTGACAGAGCTTTATTACCATGTCACAATTTGGAATACCGCCTTCTTTTAATTTTTAGTGTGAGAAAGTCATTTTCCCTATAATTTTATCTTTCCAACCATATAAGACTCATTTATATTGAACTGCACAACCATACAACTTTGCAACTATACATCCATTCGACGGATGTATTTTGTATAGTTTCAAAGTTGCAGAGTTGTATGGCTGTCCTGTGTTCTAATTGCATAAAACTGTACATCCATTCGATGGCTGTTTAGTTGTATAATGAAAATAACTGAAAATAACAACTGATTTTAAAAATATAATTAATTCACCAGTATCGCTATCTATTATGAATCTCTTGATGGTTTGCATCTTCGTAATTATGTTTATTTCGTTCAATCTGGTCAGCCCGGTTTCGATTGTATTGTGAGCTTCGCTCGACGTGAAACTGGTTTCCAGGCAACTCGGCGTACATCAATTGTACGAATAAGGGCTTATAAGGACCTTCATAAGCAACGCCCTTTTGTGGTGTATAGTTTCGACTTCAGGCGAAACTACACCCCGTTCGTATCTGTTGTCAAGTCATCATAGCTATCACAAAGTAATTTCACGTCATAAATACCCGCACAAACTATTAAAGAAAACAGTGTAGGATTGATTTGTCTTCCGACTCACTAGCAGTCTCGTCTTTTTTTTCTCACTTCCTTTACGGTTTGAAAGAACCTGGTTGAACTTTGTCATCGTCAATTTGTTGTCTAACTACTATTTTTCAACGTTTAGGAGGAAACAAATGGAAAAGGCGATGGATTCATCATCGGTAATATTTTATACTATTTCATATTTGTACATTTAACAGTTTGTCTTGCACTAACACTGATTCCTCTTTTACAGGCCACTTTTCTCCATTTTGGGGATTCGAAGCAATTTAATTGATTCATGTATTCATTTATTTTATTTTTTCCGATTCGGAATCTATCATACAGGACAAACAAGGTAAATTTTTTAGATTCCGTAATAATTATGTGTCTCGTAAGAATTTAATGCATTTATTTCGTCCAAAACGATGAAATTCTCTTATTAATACGATTTCTATTATCGCTGCCAATAGGCATTGTTCATGATTTTAATTCTTCTTTTTCGGATGAAATGAACGAACAGCAGACGAATGTCGTGCGGGGCACTTTGTGCATGCATAACCGCCCTTTACTGAAGCCAGTATAAAAGTGTTCTTTAAATTGAATTAACTTTCACAGATGATTAAGATAAATAGTATGCATAATATCATAAAGATATGTCCATTTCAATGATATTTTCAAAAGTCTTAGAATTTGGTTAGTTACCGAAGCTTTTGATAGATATCAACAATCAGATATTTATGATTATTGCGCAAAATAGCTGACGGGCTCTTTTCGAGTTTTGTTGAGAAAAAAAATTATATTTGTGAAATCACCCTGTGATATAGAGTTTGGTCATTTAGGGTTTAGGATGAATATATTTTCTGTTTGAGTGACCATAAAACAACCACCACCTTCTATCTTGATTTTATTTAAGATATATTTGAACACAATTTGCCTCCTTTTTGACAATATTCGTGTTTAAATAAAATGTGTACAATAGGTAAAACAATTACGCAAAATTACAGCAGGCATCGTAATTAAAAATATTTTTTTTAAATCTTCCTTTTAAATCTATGGTGAATTTCACATTTGTTTTCCTTCTGATAAACTTTACAGTATGTTTAATATATTAACGAAAACAGGCGCAAAAGGAGGCAACAAAATTTATATGAAAAGCTTATGTTTGGAACCCCAAGAACAAAGCGGCAAAGTGTCATTTGTGCTTGTGTTTTTGTATATTTTTCTTGATCGTCACGATAAATTTTAATTCTTCAATCGACCAGGCAAAATTTCACTCTATCGCATTGGTCATCGCCGCCATCGTCGTCGCAATCGGCGTGATAGTCGGCGCCGCCATCATAGCCCGTGGCGACTATGGGAGAGACCATCCCAGGTGCTTGACTGACGGGGGAAGGGGAGCCGTAAAAGCGATGGAGAGTAGTATGGTAAGTATATAGGCATATTATCATTAGTAGTAGTAGTAGCAGCAGCAGTAGTAGAAGTAGTAGTAGCAGTAGTAGCAGTAGTAGTAGTAGTAGTACTAGTAGTAGTAGTATTGATAGTAATAATGCATATAATGCAAATAATATTACTGATACTATTACTAATTAGAATAAGAATAAGAATAATGATACGAATAATAATTGTAACAAAACAATAGTAATAACAAAACAGTTAACAATGATACTTATACTAATACTACTAAAACATAACTGATATTTTTCAAACCGCAAATCCACAACGCAAGGTGCACTAGGCCCTCCCACATTACCCAGGCTCTGCTAGGCCACCGATTTCGGTGCCCACGGCCTTTAAGGAATTCCTTACTACCGGTATCCATTTAGTTACACCTGTGTAGAGAGAGGTAACTGTAGAATAATGTCGCGGCGGGACTTAAACCTCGGGTCATGTGAGCGACAGTCCGACCTATCCAATGGGATTCTAGGACATCGCTGGACATTCAACCCCAGATAACCACCCCCAATCAACTACCCCCTAGGACAACTACCCCCAGACATCCACCCCCTACGACAATGATCCTCTATAGGACAACTACCCCCGGAGAACTATCCTAGGGGGTAGTTGTCCGGGGGTAGTTGTTCGGGGGTCGTTGTCCTAGGGGGTAGTTGTCCGGGGGAAGATGTTCGGGGGGGGGGAGGTCGTTGTCCTAGATGGTAGTTGTCCGGGGGTAGTTGTCCGGTTGGTATTTGTCCTTGTCCATGACAACCTTTCCCCAAATATAATAATTTAAACAAAATTAAAAAATGAGCGATTAATAATCAGTGACGTTGATAATTAATCTTAACTGTACATTCGAGTGGATGGAAACTGTAATTCATCATACATCCTTCAGTAATACTAATTGACATCCACTTGAAATCCACTTATAATGCTCAAGGCGCACTTTAGAAGAAAAAAATAGCACATTACAGCATGTGCATTATAAACAAAGGGACAGAAGTAAGAGAGAACAAACAAAAGTGTGGGAATAATTAATTATATGCCAAATTAAGCATATACTTTTAAAGATCTTAATTGAAACCCGTTCACTGATCTGCTATTACTCTCGAGTATCCATTAATCTATCACGCTAGGTTTCCTCTTGATTCTTCAAGGTTTCCTATGTACCGCGAGAACATGGTGTGTCAGGGGTACGTGCCCTTCCACAGAATTGTGAATGCGGTACCTCCGTTCCTGGAGTAACGGGGGGGGGGGGGGATAATATTGATCAATCCAAACGAGTCTTATATGGTTGGAAAGATAAGTTATAGAGAAAAATGTCCTTTTCAAACTAAGAATGAAATAAATGCGGTATGCCAAATTGTGACATGGTAATAAAGCTCTGTCGCCCGACCCGTTGATTATATACAGGAAACGAGTTGAAAAGACTACTTTCACTCCCAAAACGCGATCGTCACTCATAATCAAATTGTGATTTGATTGCTTTGCCCGAGAGAATATAGTCTCCGTGGTATTATACTAGTCAAACTAGTCAAAATATGTGGTACTTTTTAGCAGAATGAGGTTAGATGCAAAAAAAGACGTGTTTTTCACGTCATTCTCCTTACACCATGTTCAGTGACCCAATCGTTTTTATATGTTGAATACACTGATTCATTGTAGCACTTGAAAGCCTTATATAGACAATAATTAGAGATGCTGTTTCGTAAGAACACATTTATGGGAGGAATGTAAAGCGTAAGTCAAACCTATTTTATCATATACGTCACAGATCACAATTCTAAGACGGTTATTTCTGCCTTATCTGATAACAGCTCTACTAGAGCTTTTATAAGACGAAATGTTATGTGAAATAACACATTGGATGTAAATTTATGTTCAGAAGTTGGAAATAATTACTTTCATAATTTTAAAGGGACACAAAACGACCAAAAACAATAGACCTGCTGTAAAAGATAAATTGAGCCTCAACGGACTTTCATCATTCTGGAGTATCTTATTGATCTCATCTGCATCCGTTACTGTTGGTCATTACAATACGCTTATTTCTATTTCAATTCGGTTTGCGATATATGTAATATGATATAATGTATTATAATACATAATATAATTTAATATAACAGTATACAATATAAAATAATGAAATAAAATATAATATAATATAATATAATATGATAAAATAGAACAAAATATACACACACATAATATATATATGTACACACACGACCCCCTCCCACATACAACATATAAAACATTTAAGATATCAAAATTACGATTGACTGCAAAATAATGAGCGATGAAATCATTTTTAAAATATAGAATGGATAGCAGAAACGTCAAAGTTATGAAAAAAGACAGAGAACAAAATAACAAAAACAGAGTGTAAAATGATATATGCGATGAATTGGAGAAGAGTAAAGAAATTTATTGCTCAAGTTAATACAAAGCAATAACTAAAATGTACTTAATAAGGGTACCTGAGGATTGAAGGGTAACACACTGTAAAGAAGATAGCAGTCATTTATTTATTGAAATCATTTTTTAACGATTCGTCATTTTTTCATTTTCTGATTGCAGGTCATGAACGTAATGTTGGTGAACGGTGGTAGGAAGATCGGCATGCAGATGGCACGATACGAATACGAGGAAAACACGATCCTGATCGAAACGGCAAACATCAGTGGCTTCGCGGCTAACGTCGCCATTGACTATGACAGGGTAAGAGAGAGAGAGAGAGAGAGAGAGAGAGAGAGAGAGAGAGAGAGGGGGGGGGGGGGGGGGGGGGAGCGAGAGAGAAAGAGAGAGAGATAGAGAGAGAGAGAGAGAGAGAGAGCAATAGAAAGGGAGAGAGACGGAGGAAGGGAGACTGAGAACAAGAGAGAAAGTTAGAGAAAGAGAGAGATAGAGAGAGAGAGAGAGAGAAAGAGAGAAAGAGAGCAATAGAAAGGGAGAGAGACGGAGGAAGGGAGACTGAGAACAAGAGAGAAAGTTAGAGAAAGAGAGAGACAGAGAGAGAGAGAGATGGATAGCATGAGATAGAACGAGAGAGAGAGAGAGTGTGAGAAAGAAAGAGATAGAGAGAGAGAGAGAGAGAGAGAGAGAGGTGAGAAAAGGGGGGGGGGGGGAGAAAATTCAGGGGATTGGGAGAGACAGGGTGAGTGATAGAGCAGAGAGGATCAGTGAAAAAGCGTTTGCCTGAAACAATTGCCCCCACCCTCAAAACAATCTATGAGACAGGGAGAGAGAGAGAGAGAGAGAGAGAGAGGGAGAGAGAGAGAGAGAGAGAGAGAGAGAGAGAGAGGGGAAAAGAAAGAGATAGGAAGGAGAGAGCGCGCATTAAGACTAATATGCAAACTATCATTTTGTGAAATACATAATAAATCAATAGAATACAGATATTCAACTCGTTCATCAATAGTTTAAATCATAATATTTGGAAATAATGTTATTCACAATTGGGTTACATAGTTCAATCACCGTCTACAAAATTTGGTATGCGCCTAGAAGAGCGGTCTCATATTTCCAACAATTTATTTAAAGAGAAGGTTGAGTCCTGGGGAGAGGTGAACAGAAATTTGTGAGCGTTTGCATTGTTATTATGCAAGACAGTGTAGAAGAACATCAGAGAAAAAATGTTTCCTGAAAAGCATAGCTCCTCATATGCCTTCATATTCTAAATATGACATGTAACAGCTTAAAAATGTGGGCCTCGTTATTATGCCACATGTTTCTGTAGTCCCATATACAGCTTTCTGTGTACAGTGCTTGTTACTTTTTACCTAGACTGGGCCAAATGTCTTATAATTTTGATGATTCAAGAACCTTGCAGTACACACCAATACTATAAGATAGATGATCCACCTTTTCTGATCGGTTACACATCGCTTCTTTCACAATGCAATCGCATGACCAGACCCAACTTTATCTTTGAGTGATGAATTTGTATGTGTAATATACAGTATAATGGATCGGTTATTCAATTTTTAGTTTTAAATTGGACCTCGTACCATAGCTAGACATTTAAGTGAACTGTCAACTTACTGTATACAATATTACCATGCACATGGCTGGCACATAATAAACAAAAGTACCCTAAATCAATTTTACGACGTGATTTGTGGTTTCATCATTTAAGAATCTAAGCACCGAATCCATTACCAGGAAACACGAGAAAATAATGATCTACAGTGCGTATAAAAAGTGGTGACTTCTTATCAAAAAATTATGGCCTGTGTAACCTTGTCTCATATTTAATGGCAAGAAGCAACTAATTTCCTGTCTAATGATACCAGGGCTCCAATTAATTTTTTGGCCACGGGAGCTCTTCTAAAAAGAAAAGAGCCCCCCGTGAGCCTTCTCACGGGGGCTTTTTTAGTACTGACGGGGGCTCTTTTTTAAATACAAATTTCCATTTATAATACTAAATTCTTTGCTACATGTATTTCATCATTATTATTTATTAAGTCTGCATTTTTCCTATTACAACTTTACAAGTTACATGCAGCTATAATGGTCAGATCTCCCCGACCCCTACTCAACGCAGCTATACCCACTGCTGACGTCCGCATTGCACTGCGAGTTTCCGTTGTTTGTTTCGGTAATACTCACAGAGATGTGGAGGTGGGAGATATATATTATATATTTTAAAACTCCACGGGGGCGATTTTTAATTTTGCAACCGCCCCCGTGAGCAATCTGACGGAGGCGATTATGTAGCTCACGGGAGTGAATCGCCCACCGCCCCCGTGTATTTTCAGCCTTGAATGAAACTCATAATTGTGCTGCCACGGATGACTGAGCAGCAGGCTTCTCAACAAATTGTCAAAATCTAGTTGTACCAAGTTTGAACTGGAAAAATGAATATGAATCAAAAACCATTATGTGTGTTTCATCCCATTCAAGAAAAATTTGCTCACTTATTTACCTTGACTATATCAGGCAGTTGAAAATAATGGGTATTAATATCAACTTCTACTTTACAAGCACTGCTTTTCAATAGGTTCCTCACATTCCACTTATTATCATATGAATTGAGTGTCATCGAGACGTGCTCATCATACTACATTATTATATATTTATATATAATTTCTATTTTTAATGTCTTTCTTTATTTTTGGTAAAACGTGGAATAAATAACCTTGGAACTTAAAACTTGAGAATTGAAAATTGAAACTTGAACCTTGAAACTTGAAACTTGAAACTTGAAACACAATGAAGTGCTTATTACAAGCAAAATCTCGATTTCACGATCTCGATTTCGCATCCTTTGTTTAAGGTAACCCTTCTCGTTCTTTTTTTACACAAACATGAAACTTGAAACTTGAAACTCAAGGAAATGCTTATTACAAGCATAATTTATGATATTCTCTTAGTTATGATGGTAACAATCTTGACTTTACTCGCATCCCTTGTTTAAGGTAACCCTTCTCATTGAGTGGTACAAAATTGATAAAATTAATTTGGGATGTTTTAAGAAAGTCTACTGTCTATTCTTTTTATACTTGTCATCAAATGTGTTCTTTCTTGCCTTTTGGTCTAGTAACCTATGAGTTTTCTTTCACTATTCGAGTTAAACACATCGTGCTCCTTACTCGTGTGAAATGGCGCAGCGGCTAGCGAGAAGAGAGATTTTAGATATCATGAGCCAAGAAGTTAGTTGGCTGTTCAAAAATAAATAAATGTTAGTTATCCCATTGATCAAAACAAGGGTCTGTGAAGGCCTAGATACATTGCATCATTTTTAACAATAAAGCACTGAAGCACAAGGCCTAAAGTTTAATAGGATTTAAGACCAAAGAAGCACATGCATATGACCTGATTCACATTCGTTGCATCAACCCGAATTTGGTACAGTGCGATTTTGACAACACTTATTAAAGTACACTTTTTTCTCATACGCACTGTATAATTATTGCATTTCCTCTTTAGCGGTGATAATTACTTAACACAAAACTAATGTCATCGCAACGAAAGTTCGTTATCAAAAGTAAGACTTGATTTGCTCCATATGCTATTTTTTAAAGATCATTAACAATCTCAATATTTCCGCATATAGATCAAATATACATAATTATCCATTTCTTATTGCACATTCCCTCCTTATAGAGGTGATAATTACTTGACACAAAATTAATGTTATCACAACGAAAGTTCGTTATAAAAAATAAGACTCAGTTACCTTAAAATAGCATTTTGAAAGATCATTATTCATCTCAATATTTTCTGCATATAGATCAAATGTACATTATTATCCACTTTGTATTGCACATTCCCTCCGTATAGAGGTGATAATTACTTGACACAAAATTAATGTCATCACAACGAAAGTTCGTTATAAAAAATAAGACTCAGTTACCTTAAAATAGCATTTTGAAAGATCATTATTCATCTCAATATTTTCTGCATATAGATCAAATGTACATTATTATCCACTTTGTATTGCACATTCCCTCCGTATAGCGGTGATAATTACTTGACACAAAATTAATGTCATCACAACGAAAGTTCGTTATAAAAAATAAGACTTAGTTACCTCAAAATAGCATTTTGAAAGATCATTATTTATCTCAATATTTTCTGCATATAGATCAAATGTACATTATTATCCACTTTGTATTGCACATTTCCTCCTTATAGAGGTGACAATTACTTGACACAAAATTAATGTCATCGAAGTGAAAGTTCGTTATCAAAAGTAAGACTTGGTTAGTTCCAAATGCTAATATTGAAGACAATTAATCATCTAAATATTTTCTGGATATAGATCAAATATACATAACTATACATTTCTTACTGCACATTCCCTCCTTATAGAGGTGATAATTACTTGACACAAAATTAATGTCATCGAAGTGAAAGTTTGTTATCAAGAGTAAGACTTGGTTAGCTCCAAATCCTAATATTAGAGACAATTAATCATCTAAAGATTTTTGCATATAGATAAAATAACCATTATTATTCATATCTGTTTGCATATTGACGATGTTCGTAAGAGGTATTTTGAAACTGATTTGAAATGAAATGTATACCCTATAATGCAGAGTGGGGGGGGGGGGGATATGGGCAGTTGCTTTCAATTAATTTCCGAACATGAGCTTATCATTGACGTGTTATTATTACTACTATTATTATCATCATTATTCTTATTATTCTTATTCTTAGATTATCATTTTTATCGTTGGTATTATATTTGTTATTAGTATATTATTAGGGATTTTAAACTAGATCCCACCTCAGAAACAATATGACTCCTCCCCTCATTGTAAAACTTACTCTATGTGTTTGAAGAACGAATTGATGACAGCCAGGGTATGGAAACTACAAATGGACAAACAAATATTGTATACGATTGCTGTCAGTAGTTTAAAATGTTTGATGAAACTTCAGGATGCATTTTAGTTTCATTAGATATCCTGGTTAATGCGAATTATAATTGTTGTATTGTCACGAGATTTGACAGCGTCAGCGTTGAAGCTTTTGGTTTCGGTAATGTGCATTTTTGGCCTAAAGAAAATTTCCAGTCATGCACAAATTTGTCCTTGTACAATCCATGTACGAAACAAATATATTCCGACATCAATAACTAAGATAATGAAAGTAAATGAAATTTTCTATGAAGAGCAAATGAGAGGGGAGCTCGCAAGATGCATCGCAGAGTACCCATTTATGTTTGATTGGGAGCAAGGGAGAGTGGGAGGGGGTGGGGGCGAGGGGTACACCGGCTTCCTCTAACAGTTAATACGCCATTGATTGTAGGCTAAAAAATAAACTTAAACATTTACTCAAATGTTAGTTATTTTTTAGACAATATACACTGTTGCCACAAAAGTTGGATTTTTTAAAAATAAACTATTTTCATGAAATGGTGATGTCAATAAGGTTTACTCCTGATAGATATGGTTTGTATCTTCTCATAACTGTATTGATCAAACTCTTTGACACTTGAGAGTGATCAATGCAGTTCTTAGAACATACAAACTGTATCCATCGAGAATTAAAGGGACTCGGTAACATTGTTGAAGGTTCTTGAACAGATTGCGCAATTTTGTATGAAATGTTACTCATTAGATTCCTTATCCTGCCCTCTAACATGCAAAATATCCTGGACAAAAAATCTCAAACCACAAAGATATTTATGATTTTCTTTGAAGGTGTCATTGTGCAACACCAGTTAACAGTAAATTCTCCCACCCATTTTAGAATTTTCCAAACCTTTTTTCCATGAAAATAAGACATAAGTCAGGCTTTTAAAAATCTGTCAACACTTAAATGTCTGGAATGGTTTATAGAGCCAATTATTTGCTTTGTGATGATTCACATTAACCTAAAATGTAATCAAATTGTAATAATATAGCTGGGAGAATTAAGGAATCGATCAGATCAGTTTTTCCCGATTTTTATCATTAATAATGGTCTGTTTCCACTCAAATTTTCAGATTATCTCTGATTTTACATCTAGTATTGAAGTCTTTACCTTAGCACCATCTTCTCTCGTCTGAACAATGTTACCAAGTCCCTATAAATCATATTTTTTCACAATCATTTCACGAAAAGAGGTGACAGTGCATCTTATGTATACCTTACAGTCTGTAGTCTTCATCGAGATACAAGGGGAGTCACTGTGCTTGGCCTCGGCACTGTATGGAGACATGATGGACATGGCGGACAGGATGACCAACTTCATGATGGACAGAAAGCAACAGGTTGGTGACGATCGTAAAAACTTCTAACAAAAGAAAACCTAATGTAATTTTACTGGCTTATATGTGTGCGCCAGCTATTAAAATGTGCTAATATAAATGAACACGATCTCAACTATACTTTCGAAAAGACAAAGCAAGGGCAATTTTAAAGGCATCGTTTAACAATGTTAAATCTGAGATGAATCGCCCTACGTGTTATCAGTGTCTGTGATAATTTTATGGTGTACTATTGAAGCCCTAAAAAAATATCAGTGCGCTTCAAAATGATCATGAAGTGCCTCAAAAAAGTAAAAATCTTTGATTGGCCGGTTTTTACCATACTCATTTCCCCCAATAGACTGTAATGTCTTAAAAGCCGTTAGAAAAACGCAAAATTTTATTTCGATTTCCAGTCATAAATACCTTGATAATCAGACAGGCGATCGGCTTGTAAAAGTCATGAGATTCCTGACTGACCTAAAGGTTTATGTTAGATATTCAATATGCATTTAGATCATACGCCTTATAAGGTATAACAACTCTATTTGTTGCAGAGTGTTTTCATGGAAGTACAATTTTAGGTTTAAATTCAACTTACCTTTTTAACAATAATCAGTTTCAATTATATATAATTACCTTTCAATACTTTGTCGTTTCTTGTTAATTGCTTTTTAGCAACTGTGTGTTAAGTTTAAGAACAATTACCATTTTAAAAATTATCAGTTTCATCTATATACAATTACCTTTCAAAACATCGTCGTTTTTTTGCTAGAGGATTTTTAACAACTCTATTTTAAGTTTAAGATCAATTTACTATTTTCATAATTATCTGTTTCATTTATTTAAATTACCTTTCAAAACATGGTAGTTTTTGGTAATTGCTTTAAACTATTTAAAAATAAAATCAAAATGTTATCAAGACTAAGAGTGTAGTTTTGCATGCCCAGAAAAGATACAAATTATGGTACAGGTATCATGTAAATTGATTTGTGACGATAACCATCAATGATTAATTTCTTTCCATTCCTTCTATAGACGATCGATATAGCAACCGCACGTACCAAAGACATAAGGTACGCTCGAAAAGGCGCCATCCCGGCCGGTTACGTCACCACCTCCAACGGACCACTCATCCGCGGTCTCTGCGCAGGAGACGAATCTCATTGGACTGAGCAGACCACAATGGAAGGTCGGAAGCGGCGGTCGGTTTCAGGCGACATCCGAATTTGCATATTCGGGTTTTGTTTCAATATTTCATTTTAATGAAAATAGCTGTAACTGAGTGGTTTAGGTGATATCTCTTGATTTTAATTACCATGAGTATTTAAAAAACAAACAAAAAACTTCCATACCATAGCTGATGAAATAAAAAAAATGCTTCTAAAGCTGAGTAAATTAAATTTTCTTTTCATAGCTGAGTAAATAAGGTTTAATGTGCGTGTTACGACACGTTACCACAACGCTCAAAAACTGTCTCTACTCAGTCGCGTACATTTCAACTCGGTGGTTACATTTTTAAGCTCAATATATATTTGATTGTATATAAGTATATTAAGTGAACTCATTTGTATGCTTCTATCAATTGAAAATCCAAATCCAAAGTCCCAATTCTTTGGAATTTTTTGGGATAAATAATGATAAGTCCAGCTATAATTCAAACTATGGAAGTTTAAATTATATCAAGGCCTTAAAGGTAATACAAAGTTTTGGTATGGGGGTCATGAATGTGGTTCAAATGAACATATTGGAAGAATCTACGATCCTACAATATTAAGTGATCGTTGTCGCGGTCGAAATCGACTCAAAAGTTATGAAATTGTAAATAACGAACTTATGTTGAATAGCTCCCTCTCAAGGTCAAGATATTAATTAAGCTATAAAACAATGTTTATTGACTAAAATCGACCGATTAACTATTCTCGTTCATAAATTATGTACCACAACTACATCCTCTGAGATTTTCATAGTCGTAGCTACCATTGTTCGGCCGTAGGAGCTATTTGAAATTTATCAAAATTTACCGGGAGCACGGGTAAATCTTTATATTCAATTTTTCTCGAAAGCAGAAGTGTTTTAGGGGTTAAAATTTCTGGTGTTTTTTATACATCCACAGGGGCATCCAAATATATCAAAATTGTAAAGAATCACTATCCACCCATTTTTCAAAATTTTCCAAAACTTTGTAATACCTTTAACTGCTTAAAACAAAGACCATTTTGTTTACATAATTATTTGATGCATACATTAGTTTGCTATATCTTGTCGTTGCACTGTATGATAATCTAGTCAGTGATTACAAAGTCATGTAATACAACGTAGAAAATATATATTATTATATATTTATATGTCACATACTTAAAAATAATACCTTCGAATATGACTCGGCATATTAAAACAATAATTGAAAAGGACAAAATCTTGAAAGCTACCCCAGCATCGGGGCAAGTTGTTACATTTTTTTTTAAGCTCGTAATTTCTTTGATGTAGGCCTATTAAATAGGAATTAATATTTTTCTTCTTTCTTTTCTGGTTTCAATAAAATTAATGGAAACATTTATAGCAAGATCAAGTATTAAATGTATGAATTTTATCATTGTGTTTGAATGATATGGGTCATAATGGAATTCTTTAACAGCTAGACTCGAACACAAGTTCAACGTCATCAGCGAACTTTTTTCACGAAACGATGCCCATATCTCCCTGTATGAGTGGAAAGGAAAAGAGTAAGGGAGAGAAGGAAGCATAGATATACGTACGAAGAGCTTGATTCCAAAATGAGCTATATCATGATTTATTTTTTTGGATCTTAAAATGCTTATTTACTACATAGGAACACATCCCACTATATCACGTTATAAAATTTTACCTTGAAGTATAAAAAAGATAGCTACAAAACTATGTTAATTCCAAAAGGAGCTAAATTCATGAAAAAATATTTAAAATTCAGCACAAATATAATATACTTGGTAGATTTTTAAAAACCATATGTATGGTTTAACATATATAAAAGATGAACATATAATATTACTAAAGGGAAAGTGGTAGAATGAAAAACGGTGATTTACTCGGAAATACCCCAAAATGGATGTATAGTACCTTTTGGAACCGAGCTCTTCTTATATTGATATGGATGGAGTGTGTGGTGATTATGAACAGGGAGATAGGAAAAGAGATAAGAAAGTGAAACTGGACGAGATGATTGTTTTATGTAAAAGATGGAGGAAATAGGAAAGATACACAAATGGAGAAAGAGACATTATAATAGTTGCAAAAAAATGAAATAGATAACGAGAGAAGAAAGAGAGAGAGAGAGAGAGAGAGAGAGAATCGGGATGGAAGGAAAGAGAGAAAGAGAGAGAATGAGAGAGAAAAGGGGGCGAATAAATACATGACAGTGTGTGTGTGTGTGTGTGTGAGAGAGAGAGAGAGAGAGAGAGAGAGAAAGAGAGGAGGGGTGGGGGTATATAGATAGAGGGACAGAGAGATAGATAGATAGACAGCCATATATGTTTGGATTGAAATCAATAAAGTTTGAATTTGAATTTGAATTTATATATTTACAGTCAAACCTGTCTATAGCAATCGCCCAAGGGAAACACAAAACGTGGTCTTTGACGACAGGTGGTCTTTGTATACAGGTCCCTTTAGTACATGTTTCGATGAGAAACCAATTTCAAGGGAAACAAAAAAATATGGTCTTTGTAGACAGGAGGTCACTAGAGCAGATTTGACTGCATATAATATATAAAAGAGAGAGATTGGAAAGGGGGGGGGGTGGGTTAAATACTCGCACATCTATTTTCGGACTACGATTACAACTTTAAATCAAAGTGCCCCCCCCCCCAAAAAAAAGTGTTGAATAAAAACGCTTTTAGCTTTCGAGTCTATCGGAGAGGAGGTCAGTCTCCTTCAGTCGAATCGAAACACAAAATGTTCTGCCATCTTCATTCCGATGTTTAGTAAATTGAGATTTTCCTGGAAATTAACATTCAGTGACATGAATCGACATGACAAACCCTCTGCTTTCGAATGCAACGTTTTAAATAGGTTTATGAATATTTTATCTAGGCCTATATGTGTTTATAGAGGGACGACCTTAAACAAGATTAGTACCTAAAACAGTCGTCACTGGATCTGCAGTTTCTTAAAGAGGAAAATCATTACCGAATTTTTTCACCTATATCTATCCCTATATTTCCTGTGAGATAGCATTGTGTTAACGGTTGACAATCTCTATTTCTAAAAACAGTCGTTCTGGGACCCGTTTCACAAAGCCTTTTTTTCAATGACAAATGAAAAAAATCAGTGACAATTCTGCTGATAACCAATTAGAAGCAAGGATTTCATTAGCTTATAACAAAAACTGTCATTTGTCACTGATGACAAGTTTAGTGAAACACCCCCCAGGATCTGCCATTTCTTAAAGAGATTATCATTACCAATTTCTTTAAACCATCTCTCTCCTTTTGTTTCCTGTGCGATAGCATTGTTTTAACGGTTGACAATCTCCTATTCTAAAAATATTAACCGTGGGGGGCTGGAGTCCTGTTTTGGCTTGCTAATCAATACATATCAGGTCCTGTTTTAACCGCTAACCTAATAGTTAAACTTCAATAGAAGAAGTCATATGAAAGGGGATCGTCACAGTATTAGAAAGGAGAATTTTTCTTCTCTTTGCATTCTCACTTTCCGTGGAGGAAGAATAACTGAAAGGATCTGATGCCATATTAGCTAACGACTTTTCACCAAGAATTGAGAGAAAATGGAGAAGACAATGGACTCAACATCGGTAATTCGTTTGCTCTTAAATGTTGATATTGTAATTGTCATGGCAATTGTAATTGTAATTGAATCATCTATTTTTGTTTCATCCTTCTCACTTCTTTCTCAAACATGCTCATTCATGAGAATTAACATATAAATGTGACATTTACATTTTTTCCAACAAAGTATATTTATAGGAAATGTGAAGAAAAAATAAAAGAGTTACATGCTTAAAGATATAGACTGGTAGTGGTAAAATTGCGGTTAAAGTGTTTTGGTGCAAAATATCCATTCAATATTGTTTGAATATTGCCTTCAAAGGTTTATGTGGCAATACTTGAACCTAAATTCGCCACAAAAAAAGCAGAAATATATGCCCAAATGTTCAATGTTGAAGTGCATTCGCGATATCTGTTCAGTCCGGATCGATATGATAATTAACCGAATATATCAATTAGTAGGCGGCTTCCCGGCAAAATTTGTATCATCACGTATTAGCCAAAACATATTCTTTCACGTGATTGGTATAATAAGAGCTTCAGTTTCATTTTTTGAGAGGGGGGGGGGGGGGCGTTTCCAAAACTGGTCTGTACTTTTAATGCATACTCAATATGAAATAGATAAACGTGATATAGGAGGCTACAACGTGAGTACATGTACTTTGTTTCTCAAATTGATTAGGCCAAAATTCACGCCATCTCCTCGGTCGTCGTCGCCACCATCGTCGCCGTCGGAATGATCATCGCCGCTGTTATCTTAGCAGGTGGCGACTATGGTCGAGACCTGAACCGGTGCACGAGCACGAGCGGAGGGGGAGCCTTGAAAGCTATGGACACAAACGTGGTGAGTATGTAGGGTTTTACTGTAATTATGGTCCATGGTCTTTCTGTCATTCTCTTGGAAACTTTATTTTCCTTCAACAAAACGCGAGCACGAAATAACCATCATAAAACCCTCCAGATGCATAAAGCTCGAAGCGACATTAGACCCGTTCACACCTACAGAAAAAAGTGAGATTTACAATTTGATTTTTGCATCGCGATCCAAAGATCGTCCTCTTGCGTGTTTGGACAGAATAATTTCACTAATCTCCGCGATTTGCATCACGATCCAATTCGCACTAAATGTTGCGTATGAGACTTCGACAATACATTTTGAAAATTCATTTCACAGTTTGTGCTTTTCTTGTCTGGGTTTCCTTTACATGATAATAGTTGTCAAACAAATGTGATGATATGTAACCTTGTAATCTGGTTGATTTGTAAATTACTATTATCATTTTTTTGAATTATGAAACAATTTTAAAAAAATGTATATTTTGTATTGTATCTGCATGTGAAATGTGAAACCAATAAACTCAAAATCTCGCTGTTCAGTCATCTTAAAGAGCACAATTATGACAATGGTATCTTTAGACAGGGTATTTGTTTTTCTTTACAATGTAATATGATTAAAGGTCACACGTAATGTAACTTTTTAATTAGAAGCTACCAAAGTTTGGTAATTTTGTGTTGATACGCTCTATTGTGTGTTTATACGCATACATGTTCCTTCAAAGTCAACATTTTTCGATAGAATCAAAACTATATATATATATATATATATATATATATATATATATATATATATCCATTTTTACAATTCAGTCTATTTCAACCAGTATTGTCTTGTTTGCAATGGAAATGATCGTATAAAACAGGTCTTGGCAATGTCCTTCAACAGTTTGAATGAATATTATTTATGGTAGAGACTATGTATTAATTACCTTGATTAAAGTTTAATTGAATACGATTGTAACGCTTTCAGGTCATGAACGTAATGATGTTTGATGGGAAGACAGAGATAGGTATGCAGAGTGCACGATACGACTACGATGCTAACACGATCTTGGTCGAAACTCCTTCGAACATGACCGGCTTTAGAGAAGCTACCGTCGTCATCGACTTCACAAGGGTAAAGGGGTATAATATTGGGGGGGGGGGGGGGGTTATTTGGAAAGGGTAACGAGAGATGTTTTGATTTTTTTGGGGGGAATGTTTTGGTAAAACATGGTAGTAATATGTCATTAGATGCTTGAATAAAATAAATGTGTCTAAAACTGTGGAGGAGAAGGGGGAGGGTGTGGAGAAAGAGGAGGGAAGGTTGGGAGGAAGAAGAAGGAAGAGGGAGGAAGGGTGGAGGGGAACATGGTAGGGAAAAGGGGGAAGGAGAGTGTTGGATGAGAAGGAGGAGGGGGAGGAGGAGGAGGAGGAGGAGTAAGACGGGGACGAGACAATGGTAGGGAAAACGGGGAAGGAGAGTGTTGGATGAGAAGGAGGAGGGGGAGGAGGAGGAGGAGGAGGAGTAAGACGGGGACGAGACAATGAGAGGGCAGAGTGAGGAAAGGGTGAACTAGGTGGGAGGAAAGGATGGAGGAGAAGGAACAAGAGGAGGGGATGAAAAAGAGGGTTAGAGGAAGATGAGGAAGAGAAGAGGAGGGGGAGGAGGAGGAGTGGTTGAAGGAGAGGAGAAAGAGGTGGAGGTGAAGGGAGAGGGAACCCCTATGTATTATAAATATTGCAGTATTTTGTTGGGTTATTGGCCTGTTTCGCAGAAGAAGAAAAAAGCAACTGGCAAGGCATTTAAATTCTGTAAAAAAAATACCACTGGGCTGGACATGGAAACTAATTCGTAATTGTTCGAGGAGTGTCATACATCGATAGGAAGCATTGATAGCTCTACTAGATAACGTTACGTAACAGGATGTTTTAAAATGATAGGTCGGGCTAAAGGTAGGTTTAGCTAACACGATCATCGTTCAGACGGTCACTACTCCGACCTTTACACCTACCTCGCCATGTTTACCCCAACTAGCTCTTAACACGACCTTTACCCCAGGGTAACGTGCCTCCGTCTGAACAAGACTATTGAAAGCTTATCCGAAGATTTGTCGCTAGGTAAGAATTACTTTCGGCACTTGACTCGAGATCTTCGTTCAAATGACACTTTCACTCTCAAAGAGTGCTTAAGGGCAAATTATCTTATTTGAATATAATGAAATTGACCTGCTATTTCTGTGAACATTAGTATCCATATCCTAATGCTCTTCAAGTTGTATCAAATTACGAGAAGCTCCAAGAGACGTGGCGAAGGAATTAAAAATATTTTTGATTTATGCAAAAGTCTCTTTTAATCTGCGTCGAAAGTTTAAAGCGAAGAAATCCTTGTTTATTTAAAAAAAATCTTGTTTGTAATCTCACAGAAATTGATGAAGGATGGTAAAAGAAAAAGAAGAAGAAAAAGAAAAACTGTAATCCTTGTTAACATTTCATTTTCGGACTCCTTTCATCGTTTCTCGTAATAGTTTGCTAATAAACTTTCCAACTCACTGTAGATTGATTTAACATCATATCCCCAATCATATCGAAAATGACACCGAAATGGCTGTAATTTTATTAATAGTATTTATTAATTAGAGATGTCGCGGTCTTTATCTGGACAAAAAATACGACAGGAAAAACGATGTGATCTGCAGTGATTATTTTACAGTTTACAGCATGGAAACGTACGTACGCAATTTCCGTCGTATCCATGCGATACGTCACAAAACACAAAGACAATGGCGACGTTCTAAACATTCTTAGAGCCTGGAAAGACGAATGATTCTGAAAAAGAGTTACCCCCTCCCTTTCGTGAAATGTGTGATGTTTAAAAAAAAAAAAAAATTAAAAACAAATATATATAACGTTTTAAATGGCCTACAAACTTAAACTAACATGTAGTTTGAGGTTAATTCTCCTTTAATATCCAATATCACCATTATCATTAATTACGTCTGATCGGTAATTCTTTTATACGTATAGTCTGCAGTTTTCACTGATGTTCACGGCCATTCTCTTTGTTTGGCATCAGCACTGCACGGAGACATGATGGACATGGCGGATATGTTTACAAACTTCATGAGGGACGGAAAGCAACAGGTATGATATATTATCATCGCCGTCAGTGGTGGATCGGGGGGGGGGGGGGGGGGGATGGAGGGGGATGGTGTTCTCCCGTAAGAGTTCAGCTAACCCGTATATCTTTTTTTCTCGTCACAATCCTATACAAGTGATTATGCATTATGATTTGTTTAAATTCTATATTGGAAATTTCATTTTGTAAATTCTAGTTTCGACTGTCAAAAACAAAAAACAAAAATCGCAAAATTAATACATTTTTTGTTATTGTTTTCTTTCATTTTCTACTATCCATATAAGGCCATCGACATAGCAGCGGCGCGTATTAAGGAAATGAACTACGCCATTCAAGGGGAAATCGCCGCCGGTTACGTCACCAACTCTAACGGACCAATCATAAGCGCTCTGTGCACCGGAGACGCCTCCTATTGGACAGAACAGACTTCCGTGATGGGAGGTGGGCGGAGAAATCGTGCCGTTACATTTGCAGGGACAATACGAATTTGCATATTCGGATTCTGTTTCGACATTGCGTTCGATTCAACAGATGATACTTCTTAATTAACAAGATTAACGAGTTTGAAAAAGCAATAAAAAGGTCATTGTCAGTTTTGGTACGGAAACTGCGGTTTGATGGAAGATATCTGTACGTGACTTTGAATTGCTCATTACATCTGATTGTGCATATCATGTGTTGCTCAAAGGAAAACCTTCTGTTGATGCCTATTTGGTGGCTATTTCACATGTGGCAAACCAGCGACCTAAGACATCCTTGTCCTTCCAAAAAAAAAAAAAAAAATAATACCCAAAAAATACGAAAAAATAAGAATAAATAAATAAAACTAATAAGAAACAGAAAAAAGGAACAAACGAAAACATAAAATAAATTCACAAAATATTTTCTATTGAATATTTCCTTTGAAATTGTATTTCAGGTCTGTTAAAAGTATACAACAAATACATAATCATTTTCAATCCACTTAAGATTACAAGATCCAATAACACTTAACAGGTAAGGGTGGAAACTTTTGAGCCCCGGTTGACAGGGAAAGATATGAAAGGGGAGCGAGGGGAAGAGAGAGAGAGAGAGAGAAAAAAAAAAGGGAGAGAGAGAGAGAGAGAAAGAAAAAAAGGAGAGAGAGAGGGAGAGATTGAGGGAGAGAGAGAGAGTCACAGTGAGAGAGAGAGAGAGGGGGAGGGAGAGAGAGTCAGAGAGAGAGAGAGAGAGAGAGAACTAGAGAGAGAGAGAGAGAGAGGCAGGGAGAGAGAGAGAGAGAGAAAGAAAGAATATTGATGCAAGCTGACAGAAACACAGATATATATATATATATAAAGCCGTGAAGAAAAATAAAACACCAAAGTAAAATTCAAACAGTATCCACCACAATTATCATGATTATAATAAATTGGTATTATAGTATTGTATACAAAATATTTCTTTTGTAGTTTGTGTAAACAATACCTTTTTCAGAAGTTTGTAACACGCATAGTCAATCTTTGGTCAATCTTAAATTTTCGTCAAGATGTTGTGTGGGAGTGCGTGTGTGTTTGTACGTGTGTGTGCGTTTGTACGTGGCACGTCAATGTTGTCATAGTCTACTATGTAACACCCGTTTATTCTATTTCCTCTTTACTTATTGTCATAGTAATATACGTATTTGTGGAATAAATAGCAAATATATTTTGTCACATGCCATCGTCACAGATAAATCCCCAAAGTAAATCTTGGTTTATAATTTGTATTTGAATACGATTAGAAAAGAATTAATTCGAAAAGCTATAATAATAATAAACATGCATTTCTACATCTGTACACAAAACAAAACGAAGAAATAATTAGGCAAACTTCAGTTTTTTACAATCACGGCTTCGTAATTACGAACAGCAATCGCATGAAACTTATGTTACTACATATTAGAACTACAAACTACATGTATATATGTAGATGTAGATGTACATGTACATCTATGTGAGACATGATTTTGATAACTAAATATTAAATGATATTTTGTGGAATAAAGAGGTTAGAGCCATTATGGGGGCACTTGCATTATGGGAAGGGGGGGGGGGTGGTGGTGGTTTACCGATCTTACATGGTGGATGCAATACAACATTGATGAGGCCAATAAGATGGGGAGGGGGGAGGGTGGGAGAGGTGCCCTATCACATTATTTCCACGTTCCTTTCCCAAATCTCACTTTCCTTTTTCTTCGTTACTCTCTCTTGATGAAGATGGGTGGGGGGGGGGGGGGGTGGGCATGTTCTCGTCGTAACTACAGCACTTAATAATTAATCTCTGTACAACTGGACGGTGGCCATGATGATGGCGATGACATTGTGAGGTTCGACGACTTGCAGAAGCGTATCTAGAAGTCGACTGCTGGAGGGGAGTGAGGTATACTTTAATAGGTAGCCCCCGTTCAAGGTAGACACGCTTTAATAATTATGTACTGGCTTATTTTCCAGAGAGGGCGTCCGCCTGCATAATCCTCTGTTGGATACGCCAAAGATTGGGGTGCCCCCCTTTTTTTTTTACTCCCCATCATTAGGGACGGCTCCTTCCAACCACTGTGAAATTGTCTTTGCGTAATTCTCTATCCATGCAATATTTGTTTGTATCTTTTTTATCGCCTTCGCGTATTTACTCTTCGCTGATCCAAAGTCCCTGTCTTCGCCGAATGCAAGAAGCTAAAAGAAAAAGAGAAAACGATAATTAGTTGTATTCTTAGTTTTCCTTCGGTTCTGATGTTATTTTCGTTTCAATAGTCAAAACTTTCTTATTGGTGTTCCGATTTCCCTCAAACTCTTTCTGGCCTTCATCTTCCATTGAAAACAATTTATTCTAGGACTGCACCTCTTCTTGATGTAAGATCAAATTTTACCCATACCTCTTATAACCAAGTTGCTAATATGTTTGATGTTTTTTAAATACTTTTCCATACTTGTTCATGCATTTTATGGAAAAAGTATACCTTTCCCTAAAACTTTGTCTAATTTTCTGGTCCAAGTTAAAGGTAATACAAAGTTTTGGTATGGGGTCATGAATTTGGTTCAAATTAACATATTGGAAGCATATGTGATCCTACAATATTCATTAACCGTTGTCGCTGTTGAAATCGAGTCTAAAGTGATGAAATTGTAAATAATAAGCTGTTCATGTTGTATAGCTCCCTCTCAAGGTCAAGATATCAATTTAGCTATAAAATAATGTTTCTTGACTAGAATCGACCGATTGGCTATTCCCATTTGGAAATTATATATCACAACTACATATTCTGAGATTTTCATGGTCGCAGCTACCATTGTTTGGCCGTAGGCGCTATTTGAAATTAAATTTACCGGGAGCACCGGTAAATTTTTTAATTCAAATTTTCTCGAAAGCAGAAGTGTTTTAGGGGCTAAATTTTCTGGTGCTTATAATACACCCACAGGGGCATCCAAATATTTACAAATTGTAAAGAATCACTATCCAGCCAATTTTCAAAATTTACCAAAACTTTGTATTACCTTTAACCTTGGGTCTATTAGAATATTATACATACATCTTGAAGTTCAAGCGGTGTGTTGAAGTTTGCCGTAACATCGGATATCATGTTCTGTAGATCCGTGTTCTTAGAAAGTTCGTCACCGCCGTAACTGTATTTGTAGTTAAAATGAGAAGAAGAAGGAATAGAAGAAAAACCGCGATAGCCAAGACTTTCGAGAATTGAAATCAAATACGATTGCAATAATGTATTTCCCATATAAATCTGCTTGGAATGAACACTATAGCAACGCTACCAAGAAATCAACCTAAAGGCATTTTTTCTTCAAATACCTCATTCTTTATTTCATAGAAGTCACACTTTTTTGTTGGTATTTTGGTATTTTGGTATCGTATTTTTTTTTTTAAATAATCATTTTATTTATTAATTTATTAATTATTATTATTATTATTATTATTATTATTATTATTATTATTATTATTATTATTATTATTATTATTATTATTATTATTATTATTATTATTATTATTATTTTATTTTTGTTTGGTGGGGGGGGGGGGGGGCAACAATGTTCCCCTTACACGTCGTAAGACCGATTCCTTCCCAGTCAGCAGTCCCTTCCTAGTCAGCAAAATGAAATTCAGAAAAAACAACAAAACAAAAAACAAAGAAAAGTGATCATACTATTCCTTCAGGTCGTCCCACTCATTCCGTACAAAATTCCAAGCGAGTGCCCGACCGACGGCGTTCTGAGACACGTACTTGATGATGACAGACGAATCTCGCTTTGCTAGGTGTGTTGTATTGAGAGAGTAATACAGAAATCTGTAGAAATACCAGACACAACGTGAAACTCAAATTGGCAATGGTTCGACTGGTTATTGAATGCATCAATAATAATGATAACACTTTTGCTTATATGTCGCTGAATATGTCGGGAATGTCAGAGTTTCTAAGCGCTATACGTTATTACCCGGTCATCGGATTCTGGATTGCCCGAATACAATGTATGCACGTTCTCCACTCCCTGGGGAACATTACAACAAGAGCTACTAGGCTCAAATTGCTAAGCATACCACATTGGCTTTCGCATTCATGTACATGTAGATGCTTATCGTGGCTTGGTTGGTCTAACAACTTTGATCCCTTTCTTGTCACAGTTGTACACAATCCTGTATGTGTTGAGGTTCGGTTCACATAATTATGTAGAAAAGGACAAGAACGGCTTTGGAGAATTTATGACAGAATAATTGTGAATGTCAATCGCTTCAAGAAAAAAATACGCGATCGATATTATTCTTCAATTTAATTACACAACGAGAGATTACAAAATAACTATGAATAATGTAAGAAACAAAAGAGATCATTGTTTCTTTACTATTAAAATGTATAATGTACACAAATGATGCCATATACGAAATCAAATATTTGGCCCATTTTGACCTATTAATAGTTTTCTATTCAACTTTTACTTTGCCTTTTCTCATTCCTTTTCTCTCACTCCTTCCCTTTCTCTTTCCTTTCTTCGAAATTCACTTATACTCATCTCTCTTCCTTCATTCTTAGTCCATTCTTCTTATATTATTATGGTTTAATTTTACCCATTTCGTATTTTTAGCTTGTAATATTACACTGTTTGCACGTTTTCTCACAACAATACTTGTATGTTGTTTTCTCTCTTGATTGTTAGCATAACCGGGTCTCTTTGTATTTAAATTTGAATGGATTACTTTGTATAAATTTAGGACCGGTATGTTTGATTCTTGTTATTCTGATGAACTAACTTTAAAGGTAATACAAAGTTTTGGTATGGGGTCATGAATTTGGTTCAAATGAACATATTGGAAGTATGCGATCCTAGAATATTCAGTGATCGTTGTCGCGATTGAATTTGAGTCTAAAGTTATGACATTGTAAATAATAAACTCTCTTTTTTGTATAACTCCCTCTCAAGGTCAAGATTGGAATTAAGCTATACAACGATGTTTCTTGACTAAAATCGACCATTTAGTTGTTCCCATTTGGACATTATATATCACAACTACACATTCTGAGATTTTCATGGTCGCAGCTACCATTGTACGGCCGTAGGAGCTATTTGAAATTTATCAAAATTTACCGGGAGCACCGGTTAATTTTTATATTCAATTTTTCTCAAAAGCAGAAGCGTTTTAGGGGCTAAAATTTCTAGTGCTTATAATACATCCACGGGGGCATCCAAATATATCAAAATTGTGAAGAATCACTATCCACCCAATTTTCAAAATTTCCCAAAACTTTGTATTACCTTTAAGGAAATATTTGTATTAATGATAACAAAATAATAACCTGTTGAGTATCCAGGGTCTTTTGGAGCAGGAAAGAGCTTTGAGCCAAATCGAATGCTTGGTTTTATCCTCGGTAAACTTCTTCCAGCCGAAGTTCCACTCCTTCTGCCCTCCTTCTTGGATTCCATAGCAATAAACCGTCTTCTTAAGATTAGGAGTTATGCTGCGGACAGGCATGAGGGACAGAGGTTTTAAATGGCAATGGAATTATGTTTTCTCCTCAAAGTCGGCAACATTAATATCTAATATATACATATATTATACAAATAATACACAGCAGTGAGGGCATTAGTAAGAATTACCCACACAATATACCTTTGGAACATTCTAACACGACTGAGTGTGGGCAATGATACTAATTCCCGAACAAAATGATGTGTATCAGATCTTTTATTTGTTTTACAAAGTGATGTTATATAGCATGATTTTAACATTTGATAATGACCGGTCATTATCAAAATTACATGTTAGGCAAACTAAATGCCTGGTCACGTGTACGCTCTCAACCAATAATTGCATGAGTGACAGAGAATTCTACAATGTCACCTCCACGAATTTCGAATTTTCAAACATTCGGACAACAGCCTTAATTACCTGATGTTTAGTAGTCTATTCGGAATATCTATATCTTATCTTCTACATGTACTATCAAGTACATAGCGAGAAGCACCCTTAGCTCATAATAATCAATTAGACTAATCATTTTACTTCTTCTTTTCGAATAGAACATTTAAAAATGAACAGTAAAAAAAAGAAGCAAGTTAAAGGTACCATGTCCTATGTGCAGGCCAACAAAATGAAAAGGTTAAATTCCAACGGCATTTGAAAGACAATACTAATTTAGAACTTCCCTCAAAACGAAAGGGCTTGAAAATGGCTTTAACAGGAAAATGACAACCATTAGTTGTGGAATCGACTTAAGTGGGTTATTGATGTAGACAAATGCTCATGTACCTGTTACAGCTCATTTTATGTATGGTATTACCAAAGAAAAAAATGTCAGTCAGTCACTCAATAGTGTCTGACATTAAAGTCTAGAAGGTATACGGGTTTCCTTGCAATATTTCAATACTAGGACACTGCTAATGTTTAGATTTCACAGATAGGACATACATGACATATTCATAATTCCTGCAAAGTTCTCTATAATTCGATGTTGGCTGCAGAAGGGACATAGTATCTTTAAGTTCTAAATTGGACAATAAACTTTAAAGGGGCCACTTTCAACAAGCCTTTAATTTACCAAGCCAGTATCAACCAATATGGCAATTTGTCAAGGATTTTTTAAATATGTGTTTATAGTGGAAATTATTGCTTTTTTTATTTTTTTTTATTGCTTTGCTTTTCAGTGTAAATCGATGATTATACTTACGGATTGATATCATAATCTGCTTTATTCTCGGTGTTATTAGCATCATGCTCCATATACTGGCGGTAGAGGGCGGACGCTTTGTCGAGACAATCTTGGTTGCTATATTTACATGATGTTTCAATGGTGTTGATCCTATTTAATCTGTTTTAATGAATCAAATATTGAGTAGTACATTAGACTAACAATCTACAAGAGGGGGGGGGGGGGCTGATGAGCGTCAATAGACGGGCGATGGGGGCTATGCAAAATTCATAACGATTTTTGCTGAATTAAAAAGAGTTAAAATAAAAAAAAACAAGAATAAAAGCTGTTTAAATTAATTGATAATCTGTCAACCAGTTCCACTGTCGGCAAATGAAAATTATGACTGAGAACCTTCTCCCCCCCTTTTTTTGTGGGGGGGGGGGGGGGGCTGATTGGAATTTCTAGGCCATGTTGTCGGCACATTTGATGCGATCTCTTAATGAGAATTGATACAGCGACACCCCTGCTACATGAAGGCAATATACAAAAGACAAAAGAGGTAGGCAGGTTTAGCGGTAGGCAGGTTTAGCGGTATTCTGTCAGCGGTTCACTCAGCTCTTTGCCTACAAAACTGACTTCGACAGACCCCGGTTCGTTTTTTTTTGGGGGGGGGGGGGGGGGGAGGGGGATGGTGACGTTAAAAGGTTCACAAAGTTTAATTTCAAAAGAATGTACAAGTCTGTAAAACTATGTTTTGTACCCGATTGTGAATATAGTCAGGCGCGAGGAAGCCGATGGAAGGGGGAGGGGCGCAAAGGGGCGCAGAGGGGCACGTGTTTATGTGTGGCTTTTTGCCCGTTTGACACTTACTGTTCAAGATGAGGGTCTGTTTCCGGGTCGTCGTCCCATCCGACTGCAGTGTACAATGTCTGGACCTGTTGGTGCATGTAGCTCTAGCAATAAACAAGAGGAAAGAACAAATCAAATCAAATCGTATCGAAACAAATTGATTGAAATAGAATAAGTCATTTAGGATTGTTTTCATTATACAAGAATATACAAAAACAAAAGTTGACGAAAAATCTGTCATTGGCTAAGGAAGCGAAAATATCTAGCTTCAGTATCAACCGATTGTACTGCCCGGGATAAATATTAATATCTTTAAAACACTTAAAGACGGTATTTAAATTCAGATTTGTTATTATTATTATTATTATTATTATTATTATTATTGTTGTTGTTATCATTTTGATTGCTCTTATTATCAATATCATTATTATTATTATCATCACGATGATGATTATTATTATTATTGTCATTATTAATATCATTTTTATTATTATCATCATCATCATCATTACTACAGTCAAACCTGTCTATAGTGACCGCCCAAGGGAAACACAAAAAGTGGCCTTTGTAGACAGGTGGTCTTTTTAGACAGGGGCCTGAAGTACATGTTTCAATGAGAAACCATTTTCAAGGGAAACAAAAAATGTGGTCCTTGTAGACAGGTGGTCTTTGTGGACAGGTGGTCACTAAAGCAGGTTTGACTGTTTAATAGTGATGCTTACCTCTAAATGCCCGTAACCAGAATACGTCCCGAACATATCTCTGATGTGGGACAAAAACCCAAGGACCGCCTCCCATGGTACATAGTCAAGTTCATTCACCATGTAGAGGGTCAGATCAAAGGCTAGGGGGTAATCAAGTCGCCCAACCTTAGCCAGAGTAAATGCATCGTTGATGAGCTGAGCGCGAGACTCTACTGGCAACACCTAGGACAAAATTGTAACTATCATTATGCGTATCCGGACACCTACCCCTGGACATGCACCCCCGGATAACCACCCCCAGTCAACTACCCCCTAGGACATTTACCTCCTTGGGAAACCACCCTTTAGGACGGCTACCTACGAGTACAACTACCCATTGACAACTACCACCAGGACAACTACCCCCGGACAACTACCCCCAGACAAACAACTCCCTGATAGTTGTCCGGGGGTAGTTGTCCTAGAGGGTGGTTGTCATAGGGGGTATTTGTCTGGGGTGTAGTTGTCTAGGGGGTAGTTGTCCGGGGGGAAAGTTGTCCTAGGGGGTAGTTGTCGGAGCATATGGAAACGTTTGCTTGTATTTGTCTCATAAAAGAATTTGACCACGAACTGACTCCCACACGGTGTTGAGTGCTCAGGGGTCACAGGCCACTGGCTTCATCGGGCAGGTAGTTCCATTATGTGAATGGGTAAATTAACTATTACAAAATGAGGGGACAAATTACATTGTACAATAGGGACACACGTTGTTTTTTGTGCAGAACATACTCTTTTATTGACTTACTTATTGCATGAAACTATAAAACCAAAATGCATTTTTTATTCTAACAATTGGAGTACAAAGAATAATAACAGGTGAATAAAATGCATAAACACCACAACTTACCTGGGGAGGAAGCTTTCATAAATTTGAATACATATAGTTGATAAACGACTCCGATGAAACTATAAAACCAAAATGAAATATGCGTTCTGGCAATTGGAGTACAAAGAATGATAGCAGGTGAATGAAATGCTTCAACAGCAACACAAACACCTGGGAGGCTATAGGAAGCATCCATAAATTTGAATAATTTAGTTGATAAACGACTCCGCATGTGGACGTTTGTTGGAGCAGAAAGCAGTGGATTCTTAACAACACGAACCCATTTAACAGAATGTCGGAACGTAAATTAAATTTGGCGCGGTTGGAAACTGCATCTTTCTACCCTGCGACTTTAATGGTACGATCCAGTAAATTAAAACATTAAAATGGGTCTTATTTTAAAATTACTCATTAAATAAAACCCAAAACTTCAGTGATATAAGAAAAAATATGTTATATCTTACTAATAATTTAAAAAAGATGTATAAACATTGTGAAAGTGTCGCATTTTACGATAAAAGACACTGATTTAGCGAAGATGACGTCATTAGTGCGCTTGCATCAGGGAATTCAAGGTCAAGAGGTCAATTCAGACGCTGATAAGTTATTGGTCGACCCTTTTTGTTTCCTTTATTCCGACAAAATTATACAATCAATCAAAACAAGTTTGATACCAGAAGAAAGCTAACGATTAGCATTTTTATTAATCGCTTGCCCCAAAGTCTCTTGACCACGGTGAAACGAGTGAGAGCTTGCGAGAGCGGCCAAAGTGTGATTGAAACTCGCTATTTGCTCTTCTCCAACGCAAAAAGAGACGACATTGTGCTGGATAAATGTATTTTTTCCGACAAAAGTACAGAAAATTTGCATATGGTCTTTTTATATTATACTTTATGAAATGTTACCCGAGAGACTTCCGGGCGCCCCAATGCTGGAAAGAAACGCACATTTTTAGAAAACTTCACTTTTTCATGGAAAAATGCTTATTTGTTCTATGTACGCAAGTCAGATTGAGCGGATGAAACAACGTTTCCATATGGGTAGTTGTCCGGGGTAGTTGTCCTAGAGGGTAGTTGTCCTGGGGGTAGTTGACTGGGGGGTGAATGTCCAAGGGGTAGGTGTCCTAGAACCATCATTATGGGGTCGGCATCCGCGGATGAGACACTTAACGCGAGCGCCATTCACAAATACTATACTTTGTCGTGCTTGGGACATGGTGGACTTCGTCGACATCTAAATCCTGGAAAACAGGATCTTTATCATCTACATTACCATAATTAAACAGCAAAGTCATCAACGTCAAGAAAATTATCAAGTATATCAGCATCATCAACGTCAAAATTATTTAAAAAAATATATCTTTACTATCAACAATACAGTATGATAATTAATATTGATACATGTATTAACATTATTATCATCAGTAAAAAAATAATAAAAAAATAATAATCTAGATCATCAACATCACCGCTATCAAGATTATCATTAACGCCTTCAGCATCAATTTCATCAATTATATCATCGTTATCATAATGAACAGCAACATTTTCTGCAACATATTTATCATGTACTAAAGCAACAACATCATCAACATCACACTATCACCACCACCATCGTTAACACCATCATCATCAATATCAACATCACCATCAACGTCATCCTCCTCGCCGTCATCATCATCATCGTCATCATCATCATCAAGATCAACGTTAACTCTTCAACATCAAGATCATTTACAACATCAAGTTCATCAACAGTATCATTACCATTAACACATAAACCTCATCAACATTTTGACATCATCAACACCATCAACATTTTGACATCATCAACACCATCATCAACATTAGTATCAATAGCAATACCAACATCAACATTATCTATCACCATCAGTACTTAGTTGCAACAGCTACAACGACATAATCAGTGTAAACAACAAACAGAAATACCGTTACAACTATACGTAAATCTGTCTCACCGTGTGGTCATCAACCAACTGTTTACCGAGTCGAGCCCAATTTTCGTCATCGTAGTCAACGCGGAAGAATCCGGACTGCTTAACGTTCGCCAGGTACCAATCCTCGTTCCCCATGGAGGGTGACAACTCGACCAGAGCTGAGAAAAATTAGATATTCGGTCAATAGATCAATAACATACTGAGCACTTATAAACTTCATCTTTCAAGAAAAGAGGCGAGAAAACATTATTCCATCTTTTTGGGCAACATTGTACGTTGAAATTCTTACCCCACGGTTCTTTTTGGATCCATGTAGAAAGCGGCATTTCGAAATTGGCATCTGTCTTCTGTGTATAGGTTAGGTAGATATACCAGAGGTATCTAAGGAAAAATATGAAATACATAACTATTTAAACATTTGACATTATAATTACATATACATGTATATATGTAATAATCAACTCCATGTTCGTCGTTCAATAGAAAAAAAAAATAGCTCTCTTTAGTATGTTGAATAAATCTAGTCATCTGATTAGTCGTGGAGTCGTGATTTTAGCCATCCCCTCCTACCGGTCAATACTTTTTTAAAAGATGCCCGCATGCCCGCCTACCGGTCAATAGTTTTTTTAAGATGCCCGTTGCCCCGGGTAACGGGCGGCATAAATACAGTTTGCTGAGATCCCCATTGGTTTAGGTGCACAAAGTTTCTTTGTGCGAGCGCGGATACCGTACAGTGATTTTTGTCTACAATTCCCGAATGATCGTAACATTCAGACAACTTTCCAGCGAAGATTTAGAGACAGTGTCTCAGATTTTCTGTGATGTTTTAACAAGTCTTTACTCAACTGGTGGTGCACCGAGGGGTCATATCAGGATGTAACGACCCCTTGAGCTATTATAGAAACAGTGGTGCCTCTCATAACAGTCAATTTATCTATAATATAACATTTTAAATGCCTTTTGTTTATTTCACTCGTCGGGAAACCTTCCATGATTTCGTCGGAAAAAAATTGTGAAATATAGCTTTCTGGCATGAATCACTGTTCACATACCCCAGATCGCCGTATTTGTCTTCTGCGTCGGCGTCGTGATCGACTAGGAAGCGTTCCTGTGAAGCATTTACTTGGTGGTCGTTGATGCGCTGGAGATCGACCACGGGGAAACCCATCTGGAGCGTCCACGTGTCCATGATCTTCTTGACGTCGTTGTCACCGATGCCCTTATCGACCTGAGTTGGGAAATCAAACCATGTAATTTGCGAGAATATTATTTATCATCATGTTTGTATTACATTCCAGAAGAGACATGCGGTAGTACATTAATTCTTGCCACTTCTGTTTATTGTAAATTTGATTTTCTTTCTTTTCCACTCAATTTCCTTTGCTAAACTATAAATAATTTTTTTGCTATTTTTTTTTTAATTTAGAGAAACAATACCTCGGTGAAAGCTGCCCAAAGGTTATCAGTGACTACGACGTCCATTTTGTGTCTATTCAGGTAATGGCGAATACCGCTCATGAATACTTCTTCGCCGAGCATGTTCCTCAACATCCGGGTAATTTGAGCTCCCTAGAAAAAAATTCAACAAAGAACCAAGATTTAAGCAAACCGTTGAATGTTGTGAGATATAGTTGAGATACGCCATGCACGCCCATATTATGTTGAATGCGGTCATAAGTTACATCATGTTCAAGAACGCCCAACGCTCTTTCAATACCACGTGGTCCCAACTCAGCACAATATATACGTATGTTCATTCTACACATCACTAGGGACTTTTAAATTTGCACGTCGACATAGTGGACTGCTACGTGCACTGTAAAAAAGAATTTGTTCATTGGTAATTTTTACGTATTTTTTCCATGTAGAATTTACTTGAAAACATTAGTTTTGCCACTTACGCACTAAATTTAAGTCTTGCTAACTCAAACTTTCAATTTAGTAGAACATACGTGGAATATTTAAGTAAAATCAAATACATAAGAACTTTAAGTAATTTCAGCTTGTATTAATTTAGTAATTTTAACTCAAAATCAGAAATTATACGTATTACTCAAACAATTTATGTTGATTATTCTTATCTTTTTAAAGTAAGGACCGATGCAGTGCGTAATAGAAATATTTACATAATTTATGAATATTCATTAAGACCAAATTAAACTCTTTTTTAAATAAAACAATTCTTTTTTGTGGTTGAATGAAAATTTAAGGACTTTAAAACATTTACTCATTCATTTAACATGGCTAAGCAAAGACAAGACAATTTTTAATTGTTACCCAGTTCAAAACAAATCAAAACTTGATATTTCAGGAAATTGTCAACCAATTTTCCTTTTAAGATGCTACGATCAAGTATATATAAAATTTGGAGCCTTTCAATATGTGTCGAATTGAAGCGTATGTAATAGTTTGTGATGGTGGTAGATATATATGGTTAAATCTTAAATAAAAGTAGTGTTAGTGATTAGTGGATGTTACTTGTTAGATTAGATGGGTACCAAATCGTGCAATATGTAATCCTATCATAGCTTTTTTTTAATTATCTAAAATGATTACAATACTTAAATTATTTACGTTAATGTAACTCGATTTAACTGAGTAAAAATTTATTCAGCAAAATAAGTAAATTCTACTTAAGATGCCGTAGGTAATATTTACTTAATAAAAATAAGGCAATTCTTTTCCTCAATTTTATTGAGTTATTTCGACTATTATTTTTTTTACAGTGTGTGACGTCCTTTTAATGCACTGTGAGTTCCTTTTAAGGCACTGCCAGTGCCTTAAAAGGACGTCACTCGTAGCGGTCCACTATGTCGACGTAGATCTAAAACTAGCCGTGGCTGTCCCACCCGCCCCCTGAAAAGTTCCTCCCACGTACCATCTCCATTGAAAGGAACATTTTTGAAATGACAACTTCTAGTGACGAACTAGCTATGACATTTAAGAGCGAGTGCCATGAGCTCCCAGTCGAGGTAGATATTGGGGCCATATAAGATGCCAACATCATCATCATCATTATCATCTCCACCAACTTTATCATCATAATCATTGTCATCATAAAGTTTCGCTCACAATTATCACGTAGGCCTAAGATATTACAGTTTATAAGATGCTGACGTGGATCCTAATCAAACAATTGGTTGAGAGCGTACACATGGCCAGGCATTTATTTCGCCTAATGCGTAATTCGGATAATGACCGGTCATTATCCAAATCATGTTATAAAACAAATAAAACATAATCTTATAAAAATACACATCATTTTTTCGGGCATTAGTAAAATTACCCACACTCGGTACCTTTGGAACAGTCTAACACGCATGAGGCGGTAATGCACTCACTGCTGTGTATTAATTGTATAGTATTGATAAATACAATGCAAAATTAATGTGTTATTCATACAGTGGTGCATCAGAGGCTCCTGTACCATTTTTACTCTTACAGCATCCGGGCACTATCTTGTATCCTATCACTTCACTCGGGTTGCGAGTCGCAAACGTAGAGGAATGTCTACCTAAAGGACGTTATAGAACCCCAAACATCCCGAATCTCAGTTAAACGAAAGAAACAATACACCCAACACCACCAATGAATATGATAAAAGACAGTATACAAGTAATACAGAATATCCTACTGCTAACGTGAAATTAAGCTAAAATATTCCCAACAGTAATTTGTTTTGTTTGATTGATTTTATTTGTGCGTTCAAAAATATACAAATTCAAATTCAAAGTACAAAACTTCGAACAATAACAAATACAATGAATAAAATGTTTACAAAAGTAATTAAATAAAAAATCATGTACAATTATATCATACAATAAACATGTACGAAGCATACGATAAGATAAGAAATATGAAATATTCTCAATGAATTAGAGAGGTAATTTAGAACGCAGGAGACCACCATCGTGAACGGTTAGGCTAGAGGTGGATGGCGGCCTCATAAAAAAAAAAGAATTGGCGACATAACTCTCTTCGGAAAACTGAGTGATCAAGTGGGTGCAGAGCAAGTGCAGGTGCATTAAGCAGTTGCATGATAAAGAACAAAATAAGTCACGGTTTTGTTCTACTAATTTAAAGAGAGGGGAGCATATGATTGTATTATTTGTCGTTTAAGTGTAGCTTTTAAGGAGTAGATGGTTGAACAAGACTTTATGTTGTTGGGAAAATTATTCCAAATATCCGGGCCAGAATGTCTAACAGATATGTGTGTTATTGATAATTTGGGGTTTTTAAGATGGAAGTTTCCAGATATACGAGTAGAGTATGAATGAACAGAACTATTAAACCTAAACATGTTATCAAAGGATGGTGGAAACAGATTATTAATGTACTTAAACATATTAACTGCTACTTGAGTAGTGTTCAGATCGATTTTTTTTTTAGTGTTTTAAGTTTATAGAATAAAGGATAAGTGTGAGCTAAGAAATGCAAACCTGTACAAATACGTAATCGAAATCGAACCACAATTTGCCCATACGCTATTACAATATTTTACATATGGGAGAACTAGCGAATTATATAGTAGGAATAAGGTTGCATGGGGTAGAAGAAACTTTAGCTTGGAGATTATTCCAATCCTTTTGGAAATGCACATTGTAACATGGTGTAAATGATCATTCCAAGTCAAGGTTTCATCTATAAGAACTCCCCAAAACTTGGACTTAGTTTTCTTCTCTAGTAGCATACCATCGATTTTAATATATATCGGTGTTTCTGTATTATGAGAATGATGTTTAAAATACATGAAATGAGTCTTTTTTGTATTAAGAGAAAGTTTATTGGATTTAAAACCAATCTGAAACTTTAATACAAGTCATCAACTTTTTTTCAGCTGCCGACAGCCTTAAAAATTCATATTTGCCGACATTTTTTTGCACCATAACGAATAGAATATCAATAGTTCTTTACCTTGTAGTAAGATATGTCTTCAAAGAGTTCACTGATTTCATCCGGGGTGTCGACAGGTGGCGGCCGGACCGGACGTGACGTCACACGGGCATCAGTCTTGAAGACCGTCTCATACACGATGGGAAACTGTTCATGCTATATATGCGTGTATTAAAGAAGAACAAAAAAGGGGGAAAAGAGTACAAGTGAAAACAATTTACTCTCAGGAAACAGCATTTGAGATGTATGACACAATCGAAATGAATTCGAATAACAATTCAGGGGCGGATCTAGGATTATGTCGAAAAAGATGGGGTGTTTGTACGGCTAATTTGGTACATTATTTTTGGCAGAAGGGGAAGGGAGGGGATGAAGTAAGGACATTTGGAAGACAGGGAGGGAGATTGGAGGAGGAAGAGGAGCGAAGGGGTTACTCACTATTCTCCAGGTCGGCTTAGCGGAGTCGATGCCGAGGTCTGATAGGTAGGTGGTGATTCCCTCGTTGAGCCAAATATCGTTCCACCAAGCACAAGTGACCAGGTTACCAGTCCACTGTAGGGCGAAAGAAAAATGGTTGTAAACTATGGGTCGTATTCTCGAAAGCGGACTAACTTTATTCCATGGTTTAATCCACCGACTAAGTATGGAATGCCAAGTGTCCATATGAATATATTTTTGAATAATTTGATATGTCCCTAAATTACCATGATAACATAATTATATCATAGTTATATTCTTGTTTATTAATTATGATATTACATTTAAAAAAAATTAATGACAGATTACATTATTCAAAAACATATTCATATTGACACTTGGCATTCCATACTTAGTCGGTGGATTAAATCATGGAATAACGTTAGTCCGCTTGCGAGAACACCACCCTATGGTTCATCGTTGTCATCACTTCCACCACCAACATCATCTTCATCAACATTACGACCTCCATCATCATTATCGTCATAAACCTCCAATCCTACCAACACTACCATCATCATCATCATCATCATCTTCATCATCCCCATCATCATAATTATTAGCATCTCCACCACCAGCGCCATCGCCACCGTTGTCCTCCCCCTCATCATCGTCAACATTACGATGATGGTGATTATCATAAATCTTGGAAACATTTTGCAAGTTCATGGCAGATGACTGGTGCAACACAGTACTTGTCTCGAGCGGAATCAATCTTTCAGTCACCATTACCACCACCACCATCATTATCATCATACTCATCATCGTCATTACAGTACATCCACCACTACCATAATCATGATCATCACCACCATCACCATCCTCCTCCCCCTCCTCTTCCCCCCTACCATCACCATCATCAACCCTAGAAACATTTGAAGTACCTGGTGTGCGAGTTCATGAGCGACGACAGTGGTAACCCGTTGCTTGTCTTCAGCCGAGTCGATCTTACTGTCAAAGAGGAGATAACTCTCGACATAGATGATGAGGCCCCAGTTCTCCATGGCACCTCCAACAGACGTGGCGATCATGTCTGCGACACGACGAGAAAAAGAATAAAACTACCGCACGAACACTTCACGATTAGATTACGATCCGATTGGGGATAGTTTGCAATAACATGTGATACGAATATTCAAACATGTAAAATCTTAACGATCGAAGATCTGAATATTAGTCATATGATTTAGAAATTCAAAAGTTAAAGTGATTCCATGCTTCCTCAAAAGAGGAAAAAGTAAAATCGGCTTAGAATCGTAGTGACATCACACGCCAGACTTGTAATGCGATTGTCTACGATTTACAGCCGATTCTGTTTTTTTTATGACTAGAAGAGTTTGACAAAAACGCACTTGTATAAGTTTGTAGCTAAATCAGGAATATGATGTTTGTTGGATTTCCGATTGATACTATTGCCATTTCTTCGAAAAATCGGATCGCAGGACGATCGTGGGGTTAGTGCGCGGTGGGCTTAAGACAGAAATACATACAGGCGTCGCTGAATGAGGAGGGAGAGGGGGGGGGGGGTGTCAAAAACTTCCCTTAAAAACAGAAATACATTCATAACTCACCTTGCTTTGGGAGATCAAAGGAAATATTGAAATATGACTCGAAGTATGTCGTCATATTGACTCCAATATCCAAACCATATCTTGTTGCTTCTATTTTCTCTGGTCGTGACCAAACCCGGTACTATAACAAAATAAAGCAAAATGTTATGATAATCTTTACTGTCTGATCAATTAGGCTATTCTGAGGGAGAGAATACTGTTTATTATGACAAACTCCATATAGATTGAGTGATTAATATTTGCTCGTGAAGGATATGTGTGAATACGACCTCACTGCTTTCTTACGGTAATAATCCCACAGGCCCTATCTCAGCTTTCTAAGCTGTAGGAACAAACCACTTTTCCCGATTTTTAATTTCCCGCGATTACTTTTTTTTGGAAATCTAAGTCACAATATCTAACCCTAAAACATATTTCCTGCTTTTATTGTTGTCCTCGTCCGTCGTCGTTGTCCTCGTCAAAGTCATTATTTTTGTCGTCATGTTGCGTTGAACGTTGCTGCTGCTGTCTTATTCATGTTTTTTCCCAGATAGTCGAGGTGGGGTCGAAGGATCGTTTCCTCCCCCTGAATTGGCCTAGAGTCTATGACCGTTTGACCGCTTTGTCAACTCACCCGAACTCCTCTATCCGAATATTGCTCCGTGTAGTTGAAATAACCGACGACGAAAGCGAGGAGATAGTTCGACATCACGGGTGTGGCCCTGTACGCGGTCTTGACCCACCCATCCTGAGTCTCGACCTCGGTTTCCTCGATGCCGTTGGTGAGGGCGACCATGTCGGCGCGGTGCTCGATCTGGGTATGGAAGACGGCTTTCAGATCCGGTTCGTCAAAACACGGCAGGGCGTTGCGCGCGTGCGTTGCCTCCATCTGGCTCGCGGCATACCACCTGGAGTAGGAGACAGAGATTGAAGTTCAAAGTTTACTTCAGAATTATTCGTTCTATGATTACATCAATACGATTTTGAATGGTTTCATTAATTTGTATGGTTTGATTAATGCTGTCATAACAGTTGATTAGTAATATCTTGTGATTTATGATTTGAATACTGATTCACAAACTGAAAGACAAGCTCTAGAATTTGGAGGAAAAAAGGAAAAAAAGAAAGACGAAATTTAAGGTTGGACAAAGAACACAATCATGGAAAGGGACTGCGAGAGAGAGAGAGAGAGAGAGAGATAGAGAGAGAGAGATAGAGAGAGAGAGAGAGAGAGAGAGAGAGAAATAAACAGAGAGACAGACATACAGACACAGAGATATATAGATAGAGAGACATAGAGAAAGATAGACAGAGATGGAGAAGGAGATACGAGGGATGGATGGAAGGAGAGTGGATGACGAGGAAGAATTCACACGCCAAACTACATGTTACTATCTGAAATGTGATCTTAAAACAAAAGTACTTTTTTAAGGTTATCTGGGTAGACTCACTTCGTTTCCCCTCTTTCTTCGTAGCTATTGCGGTAAAAACCTGTGTTACCCTCCAACAGCTCTCCGAGATAGTCAACCACCAGTTCGTAGCTCCTGCCTTCCTCCAGCATCATGTCAAGATGGAAATGGACGAAGTCATATCTGTCTTCGTAGGTTACGTCGGCGACCGTTACCGCATTTCCGACGTCGTCCACGAGTTCGTAGGATAGGATGGTGATATTCTTACTGTGGAGTGTGATGACGTCGGTGGCCACGTCACAGGTCATGTTTATCTTGACCTGACCGTCGAAAGTGAAGAGACGAGTATCTGGCCCTACGTCCTGGAGTATCAAAAGGAAAGATGGAAAACAGTTCATGTGTTATCCTTAGAATATTTTAAATTTGTGAAAGTTTTTGACATACGTTTAAAAGGCGAAGCCATGAATCACAGAGTACATTTTTCAAGCCTACAAAAACACAAATAAAATCTTCATTTTTGTTGCTCCTCTTTGTCCTTTATTTGACCCAAATACTACCATAATTTCTTTTTTTAGCTCAAGGTGAGCTATTGCCGTCCATTCCCGTCCATCGTCCGTAAACATGTTACCTTTCCATCTTATTCTTGAAAACGCATTGTGAGATTTTAACCAAACTTGGCAGAATTCATCCATAGGGGTATAGTGAGGGATCCAAAGTTTTCCAAGTGGTTAACGTGGCACCCGTGTCTTATTCTACATGTAGATGCCGCCCCCCCCCCCGGCGCTCAAGGGGGAGGGGGGGGGGGGTGCGATTCTTCAAATTTTCGAGGGTCCCCCCCAATTTTTTTATTTTTTAATAGATTTTTTGTACCATCTTTTTAACTGATCCTCTGTTTTATCGATCTCATTCAATATTTATATTCTATGTACTTACTTACTCAAAACCAAAACAATATTAAAGCATCAACCAAATTAAAATATCGAAAAATGTTAGAAATATATGCAAACCTTATCTCAAAATTTAAATTTCAAATTTATTTTCCACATTGTATTATCCTCATTTTGCTGGTACCACAGACATGTTTACCTCTGCCATTTTTCCTGGCACCGTCAGAATGTATCTGTCAGCTATTGCTACTAGTTTATCCCCCCCACCATCCGAACGAGAGGGAGGAGTTGCTGTGTGCATGCCTTTTCCTAGAGAAGCCACTGAGTTTAATTAATGCCCCCACTTTAAAAAAAATCAGATGCCTCCACTGACAACATTAAAACTTGTGACCATGTGATCGCAGTGGCGTATCGTTGGATCCACACATAGCAAGGAAACTGGTATCATGCAGGGGGGGGGGGGGGAGGGGTAGCTGTGAATGTATTAGGAGCATGATTGTAGGTAAGGAGAGAGTATGCGTGTGTGAGGGGGAGGGGGTTGTCTTTCTATATGTTCACTCTCACTTTCTTTCTGTGTCTTTCCTATTATTCCTAATGGGGGATGCCCCTACGCCCCTTCTAGCTACACCACCGCATACGGCGCTCATGTGATCAGGTTCACATCCATCACTCGTGATCCACTGCTAATGGGACCCCAGCAATTTGTTGGTGTCGGAGTGGGAGGTCAACGGTTGTCCTAGTTTTAGTCATGTTCAGAATGTTGCGGTTTGGCAATTTATATAGGCCTAGTAGTGAATGCGTCACGTGACCGACATGAGGGCACGAACATGTATGTATCCTAGGGAGTGTTTCATGAAGAGTAAGATTAGCTTTCAGTTGAACTTGAATACGGCAGGCCATTCATGCCACTGTTTACTTTCACCATTTATTGGAAATGGTCTCTCAAGGGACTTACAAATCATGGCAACAAATCTACAAAATTTATAGTGTTTGATAATTCATTATTGAAGGATAAAATATTATCTAAGGATCATAATGGTGAGAGCAAACAGTGGCATGAATGGCCTGCCATATTTAAGTCCAATTTAAATGCGATCTTACTGTTAGTGAAACACTCCCCTGGTAAAAAATTTGTCGGCTCTTATACGTTTAAGCTAGTCAGATAAAGCACGATATAAATGTACCGGCGTGAAATCCATTTTTTTTTTTTTTTTTTTATTTATTTATTTATTTATTTATTTATCTATTTATTATTATTATTATTTATTATTTTTTTTTTTTTTTTTTTGGGGGGGGAAGGCATAAAAGGGATCACTTCGTTTGGAGTAGATTCCACTCTAAAAACAACAACAACAACAACAACATCAATAACAACAAAAACAACAATTACAACAACAAAAACAAGAACAACACCAACAACAGTTTACAACAGTGAACTCAACTCCGAAGGCAGTGATCTCTGCTATGACTCTACAAGACTGGATTTTCTCATCAAGACAGTTAGAACATGGTCTGTAAATTTGGGGAAGGACCTACACAGTTCTATTTGTTATCCAATGTACAATACCTTGTATAGATGTTTGAAAATGATCTTGAAGTACATTATTTTTGGAGATATTTTTTGGACGTAACTGGATACAATATTTGTGAGCCAACTCAATCCCGTTGAGCTCACAAGGGGCTTACAGTCCTTACCGCCCAAATCCAAAAGGATTTCTCTTCAACATTGTGCCATATTTTCTTTTAGACCTGGATTGTGTCGCATTGCTCCACTCGATTTTTCTGATTACTTTATGATTGTGACATCAAATTACAAAGGAAAAGTGTAAAATGTGGATCGTGAGTTTGTCCCTACCAAGCCCCCCCCCCCCTTTGCAGGAACGAACATGTTGTGTTTGGAACATGGTACCTCTAACCCTCAACCTATCGATGTCTTGGCATACTTTACCAGTGAGATATTTCTATATTTGTTATGGTACAATGCCAGAAGGAAAAGGCGTGTACTGGGTTTAACCACAATGACATGAAGCATTCTTTTAATTGGTTAATTTTGGACTGAAAACAGGGTAATTGCCTACCAGAAAATGACCCTCTCAATTTTAGAAATCTAGCGAGTGGCAAATGTAGAATGATGGCTTGCCGAAGGAATTACATCACCATCAAAGCTGAAACAAAACTCCCTTTGTCGCCGTTCTAATTGTCTGGTCATAAACCAAAGGATGTACTTTTTACAGGCTCCCACTAACACGGGATTCCAAGCCTTCTTAAACATTTTATAAGCGTCTTGGCAATGACCTGACACTTGCTTTGGCGACAACTGCTGAAGGCTTTACATTCGATTGTCAAAAGTATGGGGTTAAGGTTAGGGTTGCAATTGGGTTTTCTGTTAGGTTTAGGGTTAGGTATAGTACTGGGTCAAGGGTCAAAGTTAAGATTAATGTCGGAAATGACGTCGGAGCAAGGAGCGTCCTGTCGTACAACCCTGTCTTGTATGTATATGCCTATAATTAATGACCTTCGAACTACATAATACAATGTTTTACCCATATTGGTAAGTTTTGTAAAATGTGAATAATTGAAAAATAGACTTTGAATTGAAATAGATAAATTAATTACTTTTGTATGCATGTAGGGTTTGACGCAGAGTCAGTAGGTTTTGAGAATAAGGTTGAGTACTCTGTACCTTTCTGAAAATGGGGACAAGTAGATGGATGAAAACAGACTTTACTTTTAAATTAAGCGAAAGAAGTAAATATATATATTGACTTCTTTATACGGGTATGGTTTGAAGTAGCGTTGATAATTTTGGGGATGAGGTGGCGCCATACAACATGAAATACGTACACACTACTTGAATGCTTTAAAGATTAATTGAATGGGAAGAAAATGTTAATTTAAATTAAAGTGATGTAGATTTTTTAAACTCTTCATACAGGTACGGTTTGCCGTAGAGTTGTTGGTTTTTTGGATGAGGTGCATGCACATACATACAAGTAAATACGGGGTGGGTGGGGGGGGGGGGGGGTTACGTAAACAAACTTTACTTTGAAATTAAGTGAAAGAGAAAAATAATTGTCTTTCTTTACTTCTTCAAGCAGGTAGGGCTTGAGGTAGATGTGGTAGATTCTGGGGATCAGGTTGCGCGGCAGACGACCGTTCCATTCCTCTTCGGGGGCCGTTGATTTTGTCGGCTCCCCTACGACACCATTCGATGTCGGCGGCTTGCACGGCCGGTCAGGCAGGAAGTAAGCCATACATCCGACGACGATGAGCAGGATTACGACCACGATTGCCAGGACGATGAGGTGTAACGTCGAACAGAAGTAGCCCTTCGTCTTCTTCATTCCGGTCTCGTCATGGAGCTCGAACTGGCCACTTTTTGTCATGCTGATTCTCCTTATTTGGCAGCTTTGTTTAAAAGAAATAAACCTACCGTAAGAAAACAAACAGGGGAAGAGAAAGAAAGAGAGGCAGAGATAGAGAGAAAGAGAGAGAGAGAGAGAGAGAGAGAGATAGAGAGTTAGAGAGAACAGTGCGTCAAATGGATAAAGAAAGACAGAACGTTAGAAAAGAGATTAAGGGATCCATGGGAAGGAGAAGAGAAAGAGAGAGAGAGAGAGAGAGAGAGAGAGTTACAAAGAGTATGATTTTGCAATGCTCATGACTATTCACTTCACTTAGATATATCTAAAGCTGGTTACTTGAACACATGTACGATTATGGCATTTCATTGAATCATAATATAAACTATTCTATTCAATCATCATTCTACAACTTAAAGAAAAATATTTAAAAAATCATTCAAAATTCGAACTTTCGTTTAAATTACATACATTGCTGGAATATAGCAATGATAATAATGCAATACATTATCGATACTTGTAAAATCCTATCGTCATATCACTGCCTACATGTATATTATTTTCGATGCATGACTATATCTTTGTTTTGATTTCTAATTGTTTGTTTATGTTTTCTGTCAACTCAAAAATTAGTTTAATGATTTGTGTATGAGTGTATATGTTATATATTAAGCTTATCGCAATACTATGTAACTCGACGAATTTCCATCGTTAAATGGACAATAGATATGAACCTTATGAACCTTATGGAATAGTACTCTATAGCTAGAAGAGAAGTTCAAACAAATTACAGATAAAGTGTAACAAACACGTGTTTTACTAGTTTACCTCTTCCCAGGCCTTCAACGTCACAGTCAGAGTCAACAGTTTTTCCACTCCCCTTTTCCGGAGAGGGTGAGTGGTTAAATGAATAGGGACTTTTAAATTTGCACGACGAGAACGTGGACTGCGACGCGTGACAATTTGACGTCCGTTTAAGGGACTGCCAGTCACATTGCCTTAAAAACAGTCCACGTTCTCGTCGTGCAAATCTAAAAGTCCCTACTAATCACATGGACTATGAAACCCATGTTTTAGACGGGGTGTCGCATCCCTGTATGCGGGACACTTAATTAAGTCCTTTAGCAAGTCATTCATCTACATTTGCCACTCTCCATCCAGGTGACGATATTAGTGATAATGACAACGATGATGATTATGATGATTTAGAACTTTCCAGAGTTGTATCAGACTTCTATCTATTTTTCACAAACAACCTCCTCTCATTTTACCTCTGTTTATTAAACTAGGCCAGATATCAGGGGAAATATCCCCTTTAAAAGAAGGGAATTCGTTGATCAGAAACAGATTGAATACTCATTGGTTGACTTTGTGACATTTGACACGGCGAAGTTCAACGCAGAGGTCAAACGCCGGGGGAAGATCAGCAAAAACGATCCCCTTTTTATTTACCTCCATGAATCCAAGAAAACATCGTTAAAGGAGTATTGACCGGAGATGGATACGTCTATATACCCTTCTTAACACACTTTAAAAATCATCACAACACATCATACTTTATATCGAGATCCACCTAAACGGTTGAAGTAACCCGATACCATGTTATAGGTTCTGTTCCGTTGAAATGCGGTCAAGCATAGGCGCGGCTTCAGACGAATATAGTTACATTTTTTTTAATCATACTTCTTACGCTATTCCCCTACACGTGCCTTGCTTAAAAGCATTTGTAATCAAGAATTGTTTGTTATTGAAGGGCTTGATTTGCTTTTTATACAACTTCCATACATAATAATAATAATAACAAGATATTTCTATACCGGAAATTGCGTAATACCTCTAAGCACGTCATATGATTTTCATTATCACTCGTAAAATTAGAGCACTTGTGATTAAAAAAAGATTTCTTGATTTTTAAATCTTTTTCGGCATGCAGAGAGAAATCAGCAAGTTGAATTTTTTAAATAATAACTTGTTCCCTTTTTTCAATTTTCCTTCCTTTTCTCCTATACTTTCTGTTTTTATTTTGTGTATGAATACTATACATTGTATCATTTTTGATGATCTGTATGATTAAGAACTGCATCAATAGCAGCTGTTTATAAAGTGACGCAATGCTCTACCTTTTTTGAGGGGGGTCGAGGCAGCAGTCCCACCCCCATCACCAGTACGCCAGTGACGGTATGCTTTCCTCATTAAACGGAACAGGGTTTAAAGTTATTTGATGTTTTGCCGCGTATACAACTCCCGTGTACACAACTCCCGGCTAATTGTTACACAATATATTTCACTTAAAAGGGCCAGTTGAAATGTGTCTATAAATATCAAACGGAAACAGGATAACACCCGAGTTCCTTCCGAGTTGTTCTGATTTGTGGTTATTCCCAAAACTGTAATTAATTTAAAGGGAATGCATCCCTTTCACAAAGCTTAAAACAAAAATGAAACTCAATAACATGAAATGTGACCTGCATTAGCTTTATACTATAATAATATGAAAAGGCACCGTGGTATAATAATGGAGGAGGGTTTTTGACTCTCGTACGGAAGGACTCAAGTTTGATCCTTTCTCGGTGCTTACATCCCCAGTGAGGTATTTAACTCGCATTTGTCTCTCTGGTATTTTTAATTTCAATTTCAATTTATTCATGTTTCCAACAAAACATTACAAATTAATTATAAGCATTTAAAACAAATGTAAGAAATACTTGTTGGAAGCAGAGGGGTCCACTAAAAAGCAGTGCTTGTACAAGTGTGAACACTAATAAAAAGCTGAAAGGATCCACATAGCAATATTAATACTCTTGTGGGTACCCTAGGTAAATAACACAAAATCAAAAACATATACCAAATCCTTCTCATTGGTTCCGTTAAAGTGTTTGGAGAAAAAACCCGACAACCGTTGATGCTGATTATGGGATGCCATGTGTAAAACATATTATTCTAGTTTTAGATCACGGATTCTTGAACAGAACCAATCTGACCAATCGTTTTCGTGAATAAATAAGCTCCACCAACTATTCCAAACAGTATAGTAGACCAGCGAAGAGGTGTATTTTTCACTTTGGACGGCATTTGGGGGTATTGCATGGCATCCATGCTACAACTCTTGCAAATAATATAAAAATGTGAAAGAAAGTTAAAAACAAATAATGATTTTTATTTTTTTGATCAGATAATATCACCTGATAAAAAAAACGTTTCAATTTATATAATGAGTTTAATATTCATTTGAATGTTAGATATTACGCATCTATGTATGACACAATGTGATTTACTCACAATATGGGAATATAAAAACTATCTCTTTTTTTAAGGTTTTCTATACACCATACATCTTTACTTGATCAAAGATATAATATATATCCACTTCATTTACATTAATTTCACCCTGATCAGCAGTAAAAGTGTGAAATAGGTTGGAATCATCGCCGAACAGCCAAAAATTGAAATAATCATTAACAGCTGGCGAATCTTGTATATAAATCAAAAACAAAGTTGGCCCTAAAACTGATCCTTGTGGAACACCTCATTTTATCTTCTTCCTCCCAGATAACGTTAGACCACACTGAACGGTTAAATCGGTTATTAAGATAGTCCTCTAACCATTCAAGAAGTATCCCTCAAATGCCATAACTAGATAGCTTACCTAGTAATATATTATGATTAATTGTTTCAAGTGCTTTTTAAAAATCCACGCACATACCAAACATTGTAATTAATACATTATCAGAAATGATATTCAACATTGTCTGTTTACGTGGGCCAAAATATTGCTGCAGTACCAGGGTTTTCATTTGTGTATGATTGTCTGACGATTCATTTGCGAACCAACGAAGGAAGGGAGAAACAATTCAATGTCTACTTTATAGCAAAATTGTTAATTTTCATTTGCTCACTTACAGAATTAAAAAAAAATGGAAGGAAAATTTTGAGCTAGAGATAATACCCCCCCCCCCCCAAACCAGTAAAATTGCGTCCGTAAGCCTTGAGATCTTTGTCCAAATTTGTACTTTGGCCCATGGTGTTGTTAGGGTATTGGGTATTGTATTGTATGAACACAATAACATTAGTACCAGGGTTCTTGTGAAGATTTTGCACATTGCGTTTACGAACTCACACATTTGCCAGGGACACAAAACTTCACAAGAACCCAGACACTAGTGTTATTGTGTTCATACAATACAATACCCAATACCATAACAACACCATGGGCCAAAGTACAATTTTTTTTTTTTTTTTTTTTTGGGGGGGGGGGGGGGAGGATATGAAATGAGATATTTTATTAGAATGGCCGTGACAAATCTTTACCAATCCTACAAGCCTCTGACTACTGTTGTACATCTCACCATCGGTGATGAAATTAGTGATTGCCATCTAGTGATTTAAAGTGCCGTACATTCTAATTTACTCAAGCTCCTATTATTTTTCTTGATTACTGAATTAAAACGGCACATGCTTATACAGACTGAACTCTCAAGAGCCCCCCCCCCCCCCAGCTCCCCAAAACCCTTTAAAATATTCTTCTATAACCGCGCATGGGTAGAACTTTCATGAAAATAACTTTCGAAAAGTTGAGGAAATATGGATCACAGTATGACAGTACAATTATAATTGGATGAGGCTCTGCTTCATTATCACAGTGGGATTACATGGCTGGAGATGATAGCCCGTTAAATAAAAATAAAAATCGTAGAGACAGAATTAAAGTTTGTTTAAATAACAAAAGCTTACCGTTCGGAACGGAAGAGAATGATATATATCGGTGGTGAGGATACAACTGCCGACAGCTGGTGGAGTACGTCGGTCTCGCCCTCTTCCAGTACACGGTCTGCCTCGCTCGTACCTTGTATCAGGGATGTGCCTCCTGAGGGCTCGTTCACATTCTTTCTCTTTGGTTTATCTTCAAAGCCAGTTTTGCACAATATATGCGGGCACACTAAACACCGGGTTCACACCCTACTATTTGCATTGCGAGAAGTTTAGCGTATAACGTGCAGAGAGTGTGACTCTCTCCTACGCAAGGGGCCGCCAGTTAACGCTCTAGTCCGAGGAA